TGGAATATCGGGGAAGGTAAGCGGGGTGATCGGTGCAAGATAGTGTAGGGTGTTTAGCACATGCCCCCAACTAACCCTTGGTGGACAATGTCGGCAGGAAAATTGACAGACCGGTTACTTTTACTTAGTAGTTGGTACTTTTGCTGGTACATGTACATGTATGTGTCAAGCGTGTTTGGTATGTGGATGAAGAAATGTAGCAGAAGAAAGTCCGTGCAGCTCTGCCATCAGCCGGGTTTGCATGGTTCTGCCGTTTTCACTGCTTTTCCAGCAGAGTCTGTCAATAAATATTTTGTGAGCATTGTCCGCCAAGGGCTACCCACGCCTACATTGTAAAAGTATACATGTAAATGTACAGTAGGTGGAAGATATCGTGAGAAAAACGAGCGGCTCTTCGCCGTCATACAGGTACACCGTACAGTACATGTTTGTACATTGTGCTGTCAGATGAAGGTGTCCAGAAGAACTGTTTCGACGGACTCGCATTTCACTTGCAAAAGGTCATCCAGAAATGTTCCTTCATCCCGATTTCCATACACTCTTACAGTACATTGTATGACATGTTGACATGTTCATGACTGTATTATGTACACAATGCACACAATATACATGTACATGTACATATAAATCCACGTGTGGATCCAAGTGTACATGATTGCATATTTGTAACAGGAACTTCTGAGAGATGTGTGTGACATTCACCATGAAGGACAAACACATGTGCTATGCGCAGCGTCACCGGACTACTATCACCGGAACCCAGGATATCTGGAGAATCACCAAAACCAGCCCGGGTACGTGGTTATGATCTACAGCCGGTCCGGTGTACTCAGTTGTTTTCTTGATTCGCTTCCGGCTTCGCTGCAAGTGTCCAACCACTGGGACAGTGGGGTACCGAGTGCCAGCTGTTGACCTCAGCCTGCTGGGAACACGTGCGGAAATTCTTGACGAAATAGGGATGCCTCCACCTCGGCCCGGAGCCACACCTACCGGAAGATGAAAATACTCAAAATACTAGTAGCCCCTGGACATGTACATGACATTCTACATGTACATGTAGATACTACAAGTGCGTGCAGCAGCAGTGCATGCAGCAGGGAGCTGAGTAGCCCTTGGCAGATAATGCCGGCAGAATTAGTTGGTACTTTGTCTGGTACATGTACATGGTATGTTTCATGCATGTTTGGTATGTGGATACAAAAACTGGAGCAGATTTCAAGGTAGTGCCTGCCATGAGGTTCGCACAGTTCTGCCAATTTCACAGCTTTTCGAGCAGAATCTGCCAGTTTTTCGAGCATTATCCGCGGTCGTGGGCTAGAGCTGAGTCGTGATCACGCTATACTACATGTACCGGCATAGTACTGACTGGGCACTTGGGAAGCAATTATTATTATTAGTTGGGTAAGTTGGGATATCGCAGCGTTCGGCAGGCAGACGTCTACACACAGTCATGTACGGGTACTACCACTATCAAGACTGAAGAGTCCATGACAAGAACATGGGGTCTGGGCTAAGAATCCATTACGGTAATTGTTATTTTGGACTCCTGAGTCTGTTGCTACATGTACATGTACATGTACCGGCGTACAATCATGTCCAAAACTCTCTCTTGTGTACATGACTACTACTCCATGTACATGTACATGTTGTTGATTTCTATTTTTACTTCGCAAGGCCAAACGGGCAGTGGTGCCCAATTCTATGGAAGCGAATCTCAAAGCAGGAGAGAGCGAGCGAGCGAGGGGAGAGAGAGAGAGAGAGAGGGGGGGGGGGGGGGAGGGGAGGGGGGAGAGAGAGAGAGGGGGGGGAGGGGAGGGGAGAGAGAGAGAGAGAGAGAGAGAGATACAGAGATACAGTCTACAGAGAGGGAAGTAGTGAGGTTAGGGGAATCGGGGAGACGGGCTAGTGCCGAGTGGTGCATGGTGGGCGCATCAACGTGTGGTTGGGGGTAGCAGCGAAGAACAAATTGCTATGTGATATAGTACGGGAGGTATGATAAGCAATTTTGCAGCGTCGACAGAGGGAACACAAAGAGTTCATAGGTGCCCAAGCACGGAGAGAGAAATACATGACTGAGTGTGTGGACAGTCAAAGTCAGAAGGTGTAGCCTACTACTAGGGGATGGAGGCGAGCTTAAAATGAGCAGCCTTGATCTCCCTTTCCTCCTTGGGAGTGCATTCCAGGCCAGGGCTGCCTGAAAGGCCAGCCGCGATCTGCCGATACGACTTCAGATTGCGCCCAGGGGACAGTGAGGCCCCTGGAAACCTGGTGTCGGGTGGTCCTACCATGTACCAGCTGATGGTGAGAATAGATCCTGGAGGACACTGCTGGCTTTCCCATTGACACAGCGCCACACCAGGACTAGTCGCTTCTGGGCGTAATACTCGCGAACTCTGTACAGGGACATCCGTTCGAGCAGAGGCTGGGGAGAGGCGTGAGGCGGCAAGCCGTATACCGCTCTCGCCGCTCGGTTCTGCAGGACCGGGACGGCGGGAGGCGATTAAGCGGTGAAGCCTTGAGGGAGGAGGGGAAGGCGTTAGATCCGTATATGAGGTCAGGCATGATGACTGACCTCACATACTGGATGCGACTACCCAGGCAGAGGCATCTGCGGACCGCCATAGTGCTCCAATCTTCTGCACAACTATGACTTAGGCCTCGCAATCGCGTCGACATGGTGGTCCCACTTCACAGCGGCATCAAGGGTCACGCCGAGGACATTGTAAGTACAATATGAATACAATGCACATGTATTTGATTGTACTACATGTATAAAAATACAATAATTCAATGTAGTCCTATTTCGGTACAGAAGTAACAGTTCAGTCAGTGTGGAACGGGCACTGTACCAGTGTATACGTGTGCTGTCTCGTTGTACAAGCAGTACATCACAATGATCACACGCGCCAGTGAGACCGTAAAAGAGAGAGAGGGGGAAAGCAGCAGCAATGGTACCCGTGCACATTGTAGCCGCGTATTGTAGTACATGTATTGCACAGTATGTTGGGATTTCAAGGCGTTCAAGCTACGACTCGAGTATGATTGTAAGTATTAGTGTTAGTTAGGCACGTCGCTAGTGTTCTCAGTGGGATTCTGGAGTGGATTCAAGTGGCCGTTGCGGAACGCTTGCCAGCTTTTGTCGGAAGGCCTGTGAGGCGTCATGCGCCAGTTGTACGGCCCCAAAAGAGACCATCGACCCCCATTGACTTTGCTGGCAGCCATTCTTATCTTCCTGTACTCTCCACAGTTACCCAATGACTATGTACAAGGACGAACATAATTGTATGCTATGCACGTGGACGCCAGAAAGTTATTTTTAAATCGGACTCCAGCTTCCCAGATCTAGCTGACAAGGATCTACGAGTACGACTCAGCAGATCAGACTCTGTAGATGCTGCTGGGCTCAGATCATGCCACACCACAGTACACCACAGTACACCACAGTACACCATGGCATGGCACACAGTACACCATGGCATGGCACACAGTACACCTGGTACACCATGGCATGGCACACCACAGTACACCATGGCATGGCACACAGTACAGTACACCATGGCATGGCACACAGTACACCATGGCATGGCACACCACAGTACACCATGGCATGGCACGCAGTGGAGGTAGCGACTTTTTTAAAAACTATTCTAAGTCTTGCTACACGTGTGTACATAAAGCATGCACGTGCAGCAAATCAGTGCAGGTACTCTGCTGTAAATAGGCTCATAAACCGGACGCACCACAACACTGCCAAACAGATAGTGTCTTAGCGAGACTGTATCATGTATGTTACTAGTACGTGTACATAAATAGGAGATCCCCCAGATAGGCTTTAGCCGTTGGGTAATCCTGAAATAAAGATTCTATTATTATTATTACATGACCGTACACCACAATTTTATCTGTTTAAAATACCGTACTACTGTTCAGTGGTCGTTTCTGGTCCTCGAATAGAAGATGCCCGTGGCATTCACACTGTTCCCTGGACACTGGGCACACGATTGTCTTCACTCAGTGTTCCTCTCAGCTGATGCTCGAAGCAGATAGGATGATTTCCTGCTAGCTCACTTCGGAACTGAGTGCAGCAGAACTTTACTTTCTTAGGAGTGTCTTCCGAAGGTATTGATTCAATGCGATACATGTAGTTTTGTGCCGACACTCGCTGTGTCATCATCCTTTCAAAGAAGACGAAATAATCGGCTCTGAAATGCTGCTACATTGTATTATTCACCCGTAGAACTAGAGGACAAAGAGGACAATCACACAGTCATTATGCCATACTCCTACGTTGAGTCCTTGGCAATGGCTGCGAGTTGCTACTGAGTGGATGCTCAAGTACACGCACATGTACAGACAGTACAGTCATGTCCATGTAGATCTACAACTGTAGTGTGGAGTGCGTGGGACTCAGTGATGATATCATTATCAGGCAATGGAAACCAGCTGTAAATCACCCTGAAGAAGGCGCCATGCCGGTACGGACGCCGGGCAAAGACAAGTATGGCCCTATCCGTGTGCATTGCCCTAAACCCAACTGTACCATTTGCATACCGGTACTGGATGTTCTGACTACCGTATTTTCCGGAGTATAGTGCGCACCTTTGTATAACGCGCACCCCCAATCTTCATTGGGGGTGCGCACTTCAATCTTCATTGAAGTACATGCATTTCATATTCGGAGCATAGTGCGCACCTGCGATTTAGGGCCTAAAATAGCACATCTAAAGTGCGCACTATACACCGGAAAATACGGAATGCCATGATCCGTCCAAGGAGAAGCCACCTGTGACTCAACTGTGTGAACCCAGATTCGTGGTCATGTGACAGGCTTCCTGATTAACTACACCTTGGACCTTGGACTTTGGACACGCTGCCATATTCTGGCTATGCGGAAACTACGGGTACCCAATGCCAGGGCTAATAATAATTATGATATTATACATGTAGGGTTGAAATCTCATTGCCCCGTGGCTTGTAATTATGCCAAACACTCATTTCGATATGTGCAAAAGTTGAATTCAGGTACTGAGCCAATAATCAGAGACTAAACGTGGGACCTCCAAACATAAATTGTATATATAATTATAACAGTTATTATCTTGTATAGAAGTTATGGCATGATGTACATGTATACTTGAAGGTGCCTGTGATGATGCAAGCAGTTTCCTTTTGAAATAATAATTGATTTGCAATTCTGATATTGTAACGTATAGAATAGCAGCAGTTTCGTAGACACACATGCACCAACATGCACACCCACATACATACATACACACACACACACACACACGCACACACACACACACGCACACATACACGCACGCTGTACGTAGCAAACCAGTTCCTACTAACTGTATATCAATAGATCAGCATGCTAAGCTTGTCATCTCAACAATAAATCTAACCGCCCAGTGTCCTCGCATAGGTCAGTAGATCAGTAGTGCTTCTCTAGAATAGCGTCGCTTCCATCTGCATTCTTCAATGTACCGTGCTTCTCGATGTACAGACGGCGGTACGACGCCTTGAACTTCAGAATGAAAATGCATGTCATGATGGAGGCCAGGCATGCTGAGAAAAGGACACCGTACACGGGATCATGGGGCGTGTGCTCCTTCGTCACGCTGCACTTGCTGATGCGAAGCTGTTCGGCGGACAAGTCTCTTTGGAAGACTGGCAGTTGGCTGACAACAACCAAAATGAAACCCATCAGCTGACTGCAAGGTGGCAAGAAACGCAAATTGCATGGACATGTAAAGAAATATGAATCTATAGTAGAATCGTGAGTGTTGTAAGGAGGTACGCACCGGCCCGTTTCGAATCCGGATTCATTCCGGTCAGACTCTCCCTAGATCTCAGGTTTGCAACCTCTCTCTATCTCTGTCTCTCTTTCTCTCTGTCTCTCTGTCTCTGTATGTCTGTCTCGGTCTGTCTCGGTCTGTCTGTCTCTCTTTGTCTCTATGTCTCTCTCTCTCTGGAGGGCTGTTGGTCTGTCTGTCTGTCTGTCTGTCTGTCTGTCTGTCTGTCTGTCTGTCTGTCTGTCTGTCTGTCTGTCTCTCTGTCTGTCTCTCTCTGTCTCTCTCTCTCTCTCTCTCTCTCTCTCTCTCTCTCTCTCTCTCTCTTTCGTTCACTGTGTGCCTTACTGATGAATCCAAGAGGATAAAGACGGTGCCCTTTGGAGATTGAGAGAACATTATTTGATGTAACGATGCAATGATGTAATGATGTAACGATGCAATGATAATGATAGAACGGTCTCCGTACTTACCCACACATCCACAGAATAGCGGCGGAGACACCAGTGTTGATTGGGTAGGTGACCTCCATTGCTAGCTCCATGAAGATGGGAAGAAGACCATAGCCGAAGAAACCAAACATGCTCAGAAATCCAACCACCGGGACGTTCATGTGCGGGTGAATCGACACCTGGAAGAGGCAGAAAACCGAACAGCAAGACCAGAGATACAGTGATGGTCCCGTTCAAGAGTGCACCAAAGTCCCAGTCCACCGACTCTAGCTCTTTCTGGACAGGACATTTTGTGGCCAGTGCATGCTTCAACATCATGACATTTCGCGTTCAGAGCCACATCTACATGTACCTAGTTTAGCAGATCCTTGCCTGTTGGCCTGTTGCCATGCACCTTGTGCATAGAGCTGTAGTATACAGTCATGTTCAACTGAGTACACGCACATGTACTTGTACATGCCAGTACATGTATTTCACGGATCTGTGAAGCACGGCTACGGGCTCTATGTGAATGATGATCACAGGAGACTTAGTCGGCAAATGAATCCGTTCGACTCCAAAGAAACACAGTTTTCCTGGTTGAAATCACAGTTTCATCTACGGTGGCTGAAGCTCACAGAAATGCTACACAATTCGACATTTAGGCCTGCAATAAATTCAGTCTGAAAGCTCCTTAAAAAAGGTGGCAGACCAGGTAATGACGAAACAATTCCCGGCAAATATTAGAATTTCTGCTTGTAGAGGTTGTAAAGTGCTACTTACCATGATGTAGCCATGGTAACCAGCCATGCTCAACAACACAGTGTTCACTTACCATGATGTAACCAGTCATGCTCAGCAACGCAAACACATAGCAGAACTTCAGTGTGCTGACAAACTTCTTTGTGCGGTCCAGGTAGATGCTCATGATAGCTGCACCGACCAGGCCTGTCAAGCTCATCGCCGCGCCGCACCAGCCGGTGAATTTCTGCAGCCAATTTGGATGCACACAATACCAATACAGAGTATGATATGTGTGTGTGGGGGGGGGGGGGCTAGAGAATGGAGGATGCGGGGGGGGGGGGGGGGGTTGGATGGCCATAAGTACCGGCAACCATTCCTACTGTAATTCGGAGCCGCATTGAAAAATCCCCCGAGAGAGCTTGGAAGCTCTGGGCCCTACGCTATGCTTTTTTGCCTAGCGAGTGTTAACTTTCTCTTCGCATTCGAGGGTAATACGACACCATCTACCACCTTGATGACCTAGGCAACAAAGCATAGGGATGTTATAAATTTTTCATTTCTCCAATTTTTTCAAGACATAACCTAGGATTCGAACCCGCACTATCGCCGTGCATGCATTCCCCCGATACACTCCGCATACATACTCATTCTTCCAAGTTGCTTCACGTTATGATCTTGCATTTGAAAGCCCTATTTGAATATTGTGGCCAACTGTCCTAGATGGTATGGTACACGACAGGTACGGGATAGCGCCAGGCATGCCGTTGGGAATTCCCTAGTAAAACAAGAATAAATAATAATAATAATAATGCCGACGGCACAAACACACAAACACGGAATTAAAGCTGTGTGGACCCTGGCTAGCGCCAGACGTTACCGAGGTAATGTCTTTTGCATAGCTACGGGAATTAAAGCTGAGTGGACCCTGGCTAGCGCCAGACGTTACTGAAGTAATGTCTTTTGCATAGCTACGCGAATAATACTGGTATTGTGTTACACCCTGGCTGTGCTGCATTACGACATAATCCACATTGACGGTCCAAAATCAGAGTGTATTTCCCAACAAAGGGGTATATTTTCGGACTCACTACAGGGCTTCATAAAGGGTTTAATCCATCAAACCTGGGGGAGGGTGTTCAGACCAACACATCCACGGCTTACTCACATCTGAATATCCGTACGGACAAAGCATCTGCTGAATCAGAGTTATGAACACGTTGAAGTTGCCAATACTGACACTCCACATAGCCATCATGAACAGGAAGGTCTTGTTGCGGAACAGCTACGCCAGGCATACAGCAAACATAAATACATTTACATGCATGGATGCACACAGATGAACACACACGTGCGCACGCGTATGCGCACACACATACCAATGTGTGTGCATGTGTATGGTCTCATGTACATATGCATATGCACATACACACACACACACACACACACACACACACACACACACACACACACACACACGCACACACACACACACACACACACACACACACACACACACACAAACACAAACACAAACACACACACACACACGCACACACACCGTAACTCAACACTAGCCAACAGCTGGGTGCAGACTCCTGCTCTGCTTGCATAAGTAACATAACAATAAACAATACACGTCCTACTTGCAATGTAGTAATTTGATAGGACATGCATGTGCCAATAATAGCCCTATGGGTCAGCATTGCACATCTACTGATCTATCTGTATTCCTTAACCCTGACAACCCCAACCAAGGATGGCGGAAGGTATTCTAGAATGGTACGATAAACCATCTGACGTTCTCCTCCAGGGCTAAATCTAGCTTCTCATTTCAAATTGCAGTGTGTGTACCACCTACCTGCGCTATGCCTTGCCTGAATGCCACCTTCACATTCCTCTTGGCGTCGCCGGAGGGAGATGGCGGTATATCGGGTCGGTTCTTCCAGATGAACAGTGTTAAGACAAAGCTGATGGATCCCACGCCAGTCAGGACAAGTAGCTGCACAGAAGGCAAAACCAAAAGAAAATGATCACTCGCTGTTTTAAAAGAGTCGCTGAGTGCAAGACTGTGTCAGTGCGTGTGCATCTAGCATATTGATTGGATTGGATTGGATTGGTTTATTTAATGTCGAATAAAAAACCGGCAGTGTTGCCATATTACATGAGATCGACTACATGCACACACATATATAAGGAAAAAGGAAAAGAGTTACGAGGTCTGAAGAAAATGTTGAACAGTCTCTGCTGGGATGACGACTACACCATAGCTCAGTGGTTAGAGCATCGCTGACTACAAGCGAGGGTCCCTGGTTCGAGTCCTGGTGGTGACAGTCAATTTTCTCTCCAGACTTTTCACGTTTATGTCTTTCCCTCAAACCAGTGAAAAAGGGAAAAGTTAAAAGAAAAAAAGAAAATGGAGTAAAAAAGGAATTACAATGGAGCTGTAATAACTTATAAGACCCACCCAGCACATGGGGAAAAAGAGAGGCTACTCAGTATCCAAAGTACCGTTTTGAAGTTTTGATCCCAACACGCGCTTTGTCTGTGCAGACGCCGAGACCACCAGGGTCGGCTGAGCAGCAGGGCCCCACCACCACTTTCCGCATTTATTCGGGAGCATAAGTGGACTTGGTATAAAAACAAGATAAAAAAACATACTAGTACTTTTGTATGGATGAATATACCCGTGCTCCAGGCTAAGTCCGTAATAAGCAAAGCGAATGTTTAATCAGAGTGCAGGAAAACTTGTGTTTCCCGGACCCTTCACCAAGCAATTTTCTGCACTGACGTGCTGTGGACCGAACTTGCATTCCAGGATCAATAAAAAAAAGAAGTTAATTATCGTGTCCGTTCCCGAAGGGAACTCACGACGCCCGCTAACACCCGGTAACCCTAGCGGCAGATGCAGTGCCTAACGGTGGGGTGAGTGGATAAGTCTCACAACCACTGGCATAAGTGCCGAGAATGACCCCATCAGCCGCATTCATGTAGCATTCCTGGATCAATACAGGCTTCTAAAGACAGATGCATGGTCCCACTGTCCCGCAGTGGCTGCTTCACCGTAGACTGTGCAAGAGAAGAATGACCTGAGCATGCAGGGGCAGTTTCCTTTAAGGCTAGAGAACGGCTCAGGTTGCACAGTGGCTCAGCGGCAAGCTATGCTGGATTGCATGAATAAGATGTCGAACATATTGGCTCTGTCTAACTACCAAGAGTTGGTATACTTGTAGGGCAACCATACGGAAGTAGAGCCATGTGAAAATTCATCCAGACACAGCCCTCTAGCCCAGCCTTACCAATGTTCGGAACGAGGAATTATATGATTCCATGTCGCCGAGCGACACGACAATGTTGGACGGGAGGACCATGCCGACAGCCAAGCCCACTGGGTTTGCTACATGGACATAACACAGAGACACCGCAGAGATATCGCGGGGACACCACAGAGATAGCGTAGAGATAACACAGAGACACCACAGAGATACAGTCAGACCTCGCTTATCTGGTCCTCTTTTATCCGGATCCCTCGCCATCCGGAAGAAAATAGCTGGTTACAGATTTACAGCATACATGATGCATCCAACAAAACCGGTGTTTCATTATTCGGTTCCCTTGCCTATCCAGATATTTTTGTGGAAAACGGATGTGTGCGGTTATGCGAGGTCTAACTGTACCATATAGACACAACAGAGACAGCATGGAGATGCTAGAGAGACAAGATAGAGACAGCACAGGGCTAACACACACACACACACACACACACACACACACACACACACACACACACACACACACACCTGTCCTGTCCTGTCCTGTAGAGTCACTGCCGCAAAAGGGTCACGTGATCCCATCACTGGGAAACTTGAGAAGAGAGAGAGAGAGGACACGACGCTCGATGACGCTCCAGGTGCACGGGTAGTCGCATCCGCTTGCCGCATATGCACACGTGCTGGAAGGCTGAGCGCTCCGCTGCTGTTGGTCTATGAGCCACCCTTGAACAGCGATGCCTTCCCCGTCCCCGGACACCGCGAAAGCAGCGACCACACCTGTCACAATGCGCGGCACAACATCCCTCCGCCGGTGCCGACGCTCCGGTAGTTCCAGGTGGCACTGCGGCATCCACCGTTGAGGCACACACATGCCGGACCAAGCCACCGCGGCTTCTCAGCCACCGCCCACACCGCCCGCACTGACTGGCGCCCCGCTGCTCAGACACAGGCCGCGCACGCTCCTCCAGACACTTATGCCGAGCCATGTCTCCTTTCCGTGCAAAATCCCGTCCGCATACCGTACATACCACTCGGGGCGGAGGCTCAGGCACATTGTCAGGCTCTTGGTAGGTGCTGCGCCACTCCGCGCGAGACTCACATGCAACATCATACCATGATGCCTCCACGCCACGGGCACGTAGATCTCGGACAGCACAGTCCTTCCATCTGCGGCGTGGGCCATGTGCTGGGCGACGCTGCAAGAAGGAGCCAAACAGTACCTGTTTTGGGATGCGGTTGTCCGGCATCCGCGCCACATGCCCCAACCACTCCAACCGCCGATGTGCAATTTTGTCTTTAATCGTCTCGGAGTCTCCCCAGCGCACCAGTAGCTCTTCATTGGTGATGTGTTCGTCCCACATCCGGCTTCGAGAGACCCCGAGGATGGATCGGATGCACCTCATGCTGAAGGTTGAGAGCTTCTGCAGGTCATGCTGAAGGGGCGTCCAGCACTCAGAGCCATACAACAGCAGGGACAGAACGCAAGCATTGAATACGCACCGCTTGGTGTGCATCAGCAGATGTGGATTGGAGAATACAGACCTCCGAAGAGCACCGCAGGCCCTGGAGGCTTGGGCAATCCTTGCGGCGATGTCCCGAGACGAACGGCAACCGCTGTCCACTACAGAACCGAGGTATTTGAAATGCGGTACGCATTCCACCTCCGCTTGACCAAGTTGGAGGGGAGCGCGGTCAGTAAGCGTGATGCCGGGGCCAACAACTACAAACTGAGTCTTCGTTGCACTGATGGTCAAGCCGAATCCCGACGCCACCTCGTGAAGACAGCACAATGCTGCCCCCGCTCCAGACCGAGTCGTAGCGAATAAACAAGAGTCGTCAGCAAACTGGGAATCTGTTAGGCAATGGTGTTGGTCGTCACGGCGGGGTTTACGGTATAAATCGCTGCTGTATGCTGAGCGGAGCTCGAAGCCAACCCCGTCAACTCTCCTGACGCGGTGTTGCCACTGGGTCATCACGGCCCACATAAAGATATTAAAAAGGACCGGCGCCATAGAGCACCCCTGGCGAAGACCATTGCCAATGCTGAACGGGTCTGATAATATGTTGTTGAACTGCACACACACACGGACATCAGTGTATGCTAGACACTCTAGTGCAGATCTATAACACAGAGCGGTGGGCAGATACCGTGAGTTCTGTATGGACGCCTTTGCTCACTCACAAATGTTCCAATTAAGTTAGTATGCCTTGACCATGCATTCCGGAATTGTTAATGAAGATACCCCCCCCCCCCCACACACACACACTCTTCGCTGGCTCTGGCGGAGGGGGACGAGGACGACGAGACAACTTCCTCCACTCTCCCCTGTCTTGTGCCACATCATACAAGTCATTTTCCGGGATCCCCCCCCCCCCCCCCCCCGCACACACACACACACAGGACACATCTGCCTGGCCACAGTGACATTCCAGGGGGGGGGGGGGGGGGGGGGGGGGCTGTACCGTACAAATGCAACTACCCGAGGATGAACAAAAAGCGAACACTGAGCAGATACTGACCAGGTAGAGAGAAGAGAGAAATACATCAACAATCACGCTTACACAAACTGCGGACAAAACTGTGTTTTTTTTTCAGCCATGTCTTACCCATGCTGCAAATCATATTGGCCAATGTCCGCCGCTCCTGCGGAAACCAGACATCTGCTACCTTGGCAGGTGAATATAGGCCAATGGGGTTGGCCAGTGCACACAGGATTTGACCAGCCAGGACCAGGTTGAAATGTCCATGCTCAACACCATTCATATCCAGGGTTGGTTTGAGTGTGCTGGCGAAGCGTAGAGTGGAGCCAGTGCAATTCAGTATCACACCCATCCACAGCTATTATGCCATGACGGATTTGTGGGCAAAATCAAACACACGCACACACACACCCGCACACACATACACACACAAACGCACACGCATGCATACACACACACACAAACATGTAATACCCACAAACATGTAATACACACAAAAAGCACGCATAAACAGTGAACACACATTCGCTTGCATGCAACACACACACACACACACACACACACACACACACACACACACACACACACACACACACACACACACACACACACACATACACACACACACAGACAGACTCGGGCATGCCCATTGCGGAAGCGATGATAGCGAACAGCTATGTTAGACATAGCGACTCGTGCTGGGATTACACAATTCAACAGCTAGCTTGCAAAGCTGATGAATTGACCGCCACCAAGAGTCCATAATGGACATATGGACTCTTGCCGCCACTAAGTTTAGCTTAGTATCCACCACACAGCTGATTGAAGTGACTTTTTTCTGGCCAGTGAATCCCTATTTTTCCTATTTTTCTTTTTCTATATTTTTCTTTTTCACACACACACACACACACACACACACACACACACACACACACACACACACACACACACACACACACACACACACGTACGTTCATACATTCATGAAGATCAAATACGTAAAACTAGAAGAAACTGCTGCGAACGGGGCTGGTCACACCATAAGGAGTGAAACCCGAGCGTCGTCACATGTGATAAGAGGCAACGTTTGTGACAGCGTGACTCAGTTTCTCACTGCCGTGTGGCTTTAACTCGAATACAGGAGAACTGCCCTTGTCCGGGCAGGCTGGAACCGGGCACTGCATGTGATTAGGAATTCTCGAAGAGTGGTGGTATTCCTACGGATGCGGAAAAATCGCCTGAGTTTTTTTTTTTTTTTGAGTCTCGTGTGAACCGTGAAATTTGATTTCTTTTTTTCTTTTTTTGGTCGAACAAACATAGGCAACATCATGTGACCCGTTGATACAGGGAATGACGGTTTGGTTGGAGGTCAGCAGGAACATAAAATAGTGGATGCACTGTATGCAGTCCACGTGGTTGCAGCGGCTGACAGAGAGCTCTATTCCTAACATGCATCCATGCCGTAACCCCAGCATTCACAGCTACAGGGCCGGACCTCTGAGTCTATAAAAAGTGCTAAACAGCAAGGGGGTCGGAAGGTATTTTAAGTGGTACAGTCAGCCAGCTGAAGAACAATTTACTCGTGGAGTCGGGGTGGCTGCTATGAAAGCTTTGGAATTTGGAGCCCAAATCAGTGCCTTTTGATTCCCAGGGTAGGTCTAGTGACTAGTACCATGCCTGGCACAAAGAGTGGTACGGTCAATACCGTAGTCACCGTAGCGTGTCCGACACCCCTGGTAAAAATAGGGTTAATGTAAAGCTTGGGGTGTTGCCGTCAACTTACCGCTATACCTACACCTTTGGTGTCCATGAGCCATGCCCAGCCGAGACCCGTGATCAACGATGCCGCCATGTACACACTCGACAGTTCGTTGACTTGCGAACTACGCACATTGTAGAACGACTGCGTGTGGTCAGCTATGGAGACAAACGTCACCCAATTCTGTGCAGTAAGTTGGAGCACAAGAGATGTGGAACACAGCACACAAGCATGGAACTGCAATGAAACCTCAGTCATGAGCAGGGAGTAGTAAAATACCAGGTATTTTACTACTCCCTGCTCATGAGTAGTGCCCCCCCCCCATGCTGCATGGTTTTTTTCCTAACCTGCAGATACATGTACAATGTGGTGGTGTGAGCATGTGACCTTGTGGTCCTTACGAATCAAAAGTACGATCCCTTCTCTGTGACACAACAGCATGTGGAATGTGCAGGGTCGCCATGGTTTCGGAGACTGCCACCCGCATTCAACGAGCCGGCGCACTGCACGATAGGCAGATCCCCTGGGTGATCACCATGGTAACTGAACAGACTTAACCAATGCCACTGTAGCGATGGTGCCAATGTCATGAAAATCCGAGATTTCGAAATTACAGTGCAACTCTCTTAGCTAAGGGCAGTACTCGCATAAACCAGTTACACGCTGACAAAGTCGGCTTTGTATCAATCACAGTTTGCGTTTTTTTTAAGTTAGGTTCAATAGCACATTATTTGTTTCACTTGTCTTTGGCATTTTATTGGGTGTGCGCTGCATGAGTTTCATATGCCCATGGCACGTTCCTGACGACCGCGGTCTGACAGGTCATGTGTGCATGCAGGATCTATGTGGTGCACAGCTCTGTGTTGGAGCTGTCTCGATCTGTACCACCACGTGGTTTGGCCAGTGTCTAGTCCCACGTGCTTCGCATGTACGTTGAGCGACACGCGCTGTACCACGTAGGTGCCATGCCTCTTGGGCGTGACATCCCACGTAGATGTCATGCCTCTTGGGTGTGACACACACACATCATGTGATGCATTGCCGGAACCCGGTCAGGTAGGTTCACGCCTGAAATGTTCTACAAGTAGTTGTAAGAAGTTCTTCACTTCCTGGAAATTTATGTCAAGGCTTTGTGCAAAATCATGTGACTGAGAAGTCCTATCGATTTTCATGATCCCTTTTGCGCTTCGTGCAAGACACGAAGGGCCGTGCGCATAAAGAATGAGAGCAACGTGCAAGAAATGGGAGTTGAGTGCAAAGAAAGGAGAGTCGAATACAAAGAATGAGAAGCGTGTGCAAGAGAGCGGGGAACTGTGTGCAAAGCCATGAAGAGTCTACGGAAGAAGTGGCACCCGCAGTACAACGACGCCGCCGTAACCCGCGAAGGGCCCGCCGGTGAATGCCCCGAAGGGCCCGCGGATAAGGCAGAAACACCGCCGCCGGAGTTACACTGTTCTGTCACGTCGGGTGAGCGGGCTCTCCGACGTGGCCCATATATCTAATTGTTTATGCGGCTTAGCTGGTCAATCTGGTTATTCCAGATTGACATTCCAAGAAATCTATAATCACGCCATACGTTTTGCACAAATTTCTATCAATATTACCGCATAAAAGGGGCGTTACTCTCTCTTGATTTACTCATAATCCTCCCCCAGATCTGAATATTAACCTGAGCTCCTCAAAACACTGGAACTAGCTCTCCTCTGGCGTGTGCTAATCAAAGTGAGCTGAGAATGAGGTTTGGGTCGTCGACTATATTGGTCGACCACCTGGCTGTTGGATTAGGTTGAGTTGTGCGCAATCATGACAAGCAGCGGACCTCGCAGGGATGCGACACCCATAAGCGGGATACCATGTGAGAGGTACATGTCCCTTAGTACATACTCTGATCAGACATGTACAATGTACTAGGGGTGTCATCGATTGGCGAATCGAGATTGAGTGCGAGCAGGCAGTGCAGTCCGAGAAACGCTGGCCCAATCGAACAAAACAAGGGTGTAGTTTGCAACATGTACGCATAAGTTATCGTACAAATATTCAGTGAAAGCTGTCAAAAAAACATAAAAGTCCATTTTCACCCCAGCCACTCCTGGTGTGGAGGCCGGTGTGGAGGCCGGTGTGGTCGGATTCCACACCAAGTACATCTACTCCGGATTCGGCCAATCGATCACGCTCACTCGGAGCGCACTTGCTCGGGATTCGAACAATCGATCATGCCCTAGTACTCTTGCTTAGTACGGACTCAGGAGCGCGGGTGTGTTACTATTGATCTCGTACTGAACTGTATATTGTTGAAAAAAAGTACCTTGAATACTCGGATGGTCAGCCAATTTAATTATGGCAATAAAAAAGAAATGGACAAACATTTTAGCCATTTTGTCGCGGCACTCGCTGACTGTATTATGATCTGGTTATGTTGGTGGACAGTTAGTCATAACTCGTAACATTTTGTTCTTCTAAAATGGCAATAAATAAGATCACTCGTGCACTCATAACAACAGCAAAGAAATGAAGAAAGTTAAGTTCCATAACGTTTGCTTGTGACTTTCATCAGATGAGTGCACAATTGATCTTATTTATTGCCATTTTTCGACTATTGTCTTCTCGTCGATTGTTTAAATATTTTGCTCTTCTCCTCTTTAAAAAAAACCTTGGATACTAATTACACTATTGTGTTACCCATGGGCATGTAGGGGTACGCGACTACGTACATGTATTATTCGAGGTTTACAGTAATTCATTGCTAGGGTAGTAAATCTGCAGGTACTTACCACTGCACTACTGAAGTTCAGAGCAGCAGCGGAGGCCAGCACAATCCATCTTAACTTGCTGGTCGCGTATTGTGGCTGCGTTTCGTCGTGCACCGACACGGCGCCATTACGACTCGGCTGGGAAATGGATGGCTGAGCAGGCGTCAGTAGGCGTGTATCCTCGTCTGCGTCCATCCTGGTCGAAGCAATCGCGTATTCGTCAGGAGTTTGCAGCCTGTGCTGCGCCATTCCACTGCTTGCGATTACCAGTGGTTCTGCGGTGTGCTAGTACCAGTCCTTCTAGGAACTGTGCAGACTCTCCAAATCAGCGTGAAGATGGTGTGCATGCACAGCCACTGTGACACTAGTCTTTGACCAAGCGTCGCTGTCGGAGAATCGATACACGCCCGCGGCACGGCACCTGCCTGGACGTTGCTCAGCAAGGAGTTCTGCCCCTTCGACAATTTCAATTGCTTGGCTGTGAAGCCACTGAAGGTGTTCCAGCGATTATTTTGATCTCTGTCACAGACCCAGGCAAGTCGAACTGTTGCCAGTACTGTGTACTGTACACTGATGTACACGCTCGTCTGCTTACTGACTCTCCGCGTGCTAGTACCAGTGGTAGTCCGGGCCTCTAGCGTTCATTAGCAAAATAACTGGTCAGGATTCACTTGGCCTTGGCCCCTTCATTCAGGGTGGCGTCAGGAAGGAGGAGCAAATTTGTTCAGACTGTCGGGTCTGGCTCGCTGGCTCATTGACAATGTGAACAAGACGCGTCCCTGGCCCGGTCTGAAGATACGGATACTGGTACGTGTAGTTCATTCCGTGCGCGCGGTACTGCACTGAACCTGGTGCCAGATACTTAGTAAGGTACGGTGAGAAAATGTATCTCAGCTGGTCGTCACCATCCCCGGATCGCGACCGCTTCGTACAGACAGTCAGCGCAGGCCGCAATTCCAGCTTGACACTTTTATTTGATCGACCGCTAAATTGACAGAGTAACCCACTCTGCTCAGCCAGCGAGACCTTGTCAAGAGAAGAACGGACTGTCAGCTTCGCACACACGCACAACACAGCACGCAAACTCCTTGCACGATCCACACTGCGGTCAGTGGACTGGGTGCCATGGGTGATCTACTCAGTAATCATCCGTCTCTCAGTCTCATTACTTGACGCTAAAGCTCGCTCCCTTTTCCAGCTAGCTCAGAGTCTGATGCGGAAAAGTGAAAAATAATTCGCTCCTTTCTGGCTTTATTTGGTTCAGCTTCCATCAAGGATTCATTTCGACAAAAGACGACTTGTCGAATCCGGGTAGATCGGATAGCCATTTTCAACTACATGCAGCATCTAACAACTCTTGAATGTATTTTCATGCTCGTAACTTCGTAAGTCGTAGATCTACCGCCGGTAGCGCAGCAGCTGTTACCATGGTTACAGTGACTCTGACTCTTCATGATATGACTGTCATGTACATGTAGTCGCTAGACTTCAGTACAGACTGCCCTGCCCAAATGCAACATGGAGTCGGACTTACAGGTACATGTAGATGTAGATGACTGTACAAGTCATGTACATGACTGTTTCCCTTTGACGGTTTGACTTACATAACTGTAGTCTTTGAAATATTGAGTGGCATGGCATGGCACAGGACAGGAGACGTCCAGCCTACAGCCTCATCATTCATGTACAGTCAGTGCTGGCAACTGAAATCCGACCCCCTTCCCGGCGCGCCGCGCAGTTGCCAGCACTGTATATCCCCTCACTACACTTTATAGTGATACATTTATATGTACTAGTGTTGTGTTGTGTTGTGCAAACCCTCCTTCTACTTCTAGTCTGTCTCATTTTGCCCCGAGATGTTTTGATGCATAGTGATTATGACGCTCATCATTTTGCTCCCTTGTTACTGGACAGTTCTGTCAGTTTGGTTTTAGCGAATTCAAATAAAGAAAGAAAGCAACACATGATGGAGGGCAGCCATCACCCCATTCTGATTCACCATGTTCACCAACGATCCGTCCGACTCCATGCCATGGCTGGGTCCAGGGCGCAGGCATGGGTGGTTTATAGTTTATACAACTTCCTGCCGGCTAGCCGAGTGTAGCTGGCCTGGGCCAAAGCTTGGCGAGAGGCAAACCTAGCTTCTGCTGCAGGGAGTCGTGAAAAATGAAAGCCACGACACTTGCTGCCATGCCACGACTCTTGAGCAAGAGTCTTCTTGTCTTGATACAGTAGATCTACAGTAATAGTATATTATTAGTCCCGGAAACGGCTTCCTGCTAGCGCTAGCTGCGGCAGCAGCTGGGCCGCTGCCGCTGGCTTAGCCTGGCTACTGGTCATGTGCACGTGCAGCGCAGGCCAGACGGAGGGGGTTTCCCCATATCACCGTTTTTGTTTGAAACTTTGATTTGAATTCGACTTTGAGTTTGAGCGTGTATTTCATGCTGTTCTTGTTCTCTTTCTTGTCCGTAATGTTGTTGATTGCATTGTTCAGAATGCTCTCACTTAGAAGTGGACGCTGCTTTCGAAGGAAAGTGGCGAATGGAGAAACTCTTCTTCTGCTCGCATCTGTGCTGGCAGTGTGTCGATTCGTGCCCGTCGAGACTGTGCAGCCCGAGGAGAATGTCGAGCCTGCAGATACTCCTGCGAGTGAGAGCATCATCATTAGTCCGCAGTCGCATATGTGGGGCCCTGGCCTGACATCAGCACGCAGCAACACCCCTGTGAGGTATTTCTTCGTACATGCCGTGCAACAAACAACCGGTGAAAAGTGAGTATCGGTACACATATCTAAAAAGCATTTTATGTACAACCCAAAGAAATTTATCTGAACCGTCTTTGAAAAGAATTCTGCACTTTGTTGTTACGGATATTCACAGCTGGCTTACCAGTGGTCTGTGTCTGAGTGTGAGGGTGACAGTGCTCCGAAGTGGACATGATGAAAGGTACATGGCAAAGTGCAGTTGGTACAAGTCTACGTTACCAGTACAATCATGGTATTAGATCAACAAAGTTACATACCGTAGAATCCTGCGGATAAGCCCATGGACTTATCTGTTGCACAGGGACATTTCAGTGGGCTTATACGCGGGCATTATAGGCTCATGGGCTTGTACGACGAAGCTTCGTGATGTTCAAACTTGACCTGGGCTTATGCGCGAGCATGGGCTTATACGCGGGCATGGGCTTATACGCAGGATTCTACGGTAGTACAACCATGTACATACACACCATGATCATTGTCCTGTGAATTCTGTGCTGGAATATATTTTTTAATAAACCCTGGCCCGACGTTCTCTCTCTCTCTCTCTCTCTCTCTCTCTCTCTCTCTCTCTCTCACACACACACACACACACATGCACACACACACACACACACACACACACACACACACACACACACACACACACACACACACACACACACCAGGGGCGTAGGAGGGGTTTTGGAAGTGGTACGACCAAAGGTCGGCGCGGCCGAAGGCCGTTTTGGAGGGGGGTCCGGGGGACCTCCCCCGGGAAAAATTTGTAAAAAAGACACAAAATCCTGCGTTCTGGGAACTTCTGGCGCAGTTTATAAGTCATAGAATTATTTCACGGGCAGAAGAGACGTGCATGGACATGCACAGATGCATGGCAGATTTTCGAGTACGAGTCTAGAAAAAGGTCAAAGTCTGATGCGCATATGCATCGATGGATCCTGATTTTTTTATTACGGTTTTGCACGTTCCGGACGGACAACACTTTTCGAAAAGTGGTACGGCCATGGTCGTACCAGTCGTAGCGGGTGCTACGCCCCTGCACACACACACACACATGCACACACACACATACGCGCACACACACACACACATAATGTACATTTGTAGGTAATATGTATGAGTATGTGCATGTGTGACTGTGCGACTGTACATGTGTGGGTGGGGGGGGGGGGGGGTGGGGGGGGGGGGTGTTACCGTGTGTGCATAAGCGTGGTCAATAGGCGGCGACCACGACGGCTTATACAGTCGTCCCTCTCTAATCCGGCACTTTATAATCCAGCACCCTCGATAAACCAGCACAATTTTCAGTAGCCAAAATGTCCTCTTCATGCACATTGCAGCAGTAAATCAGATTTGTTAATCCAGCACCCTCCCTAATCCAGCAGATTTTCGTGGCACAAATGGTGCCGGATTATAGAGGGACCACTGTAGTGAGGTGTAAAATTTGTGTAGTGCGGAAAGTGACAATGACCTGGTGTGACCTTGTCGCATGCTTTGTGGACACTACTTTCCTTACTTTGCACTTTAGGTGCTATCTTACACTAGTACCAGGTGAGAATACAGCTTGTTTGGCACTCACTGTCCTGGACATAAAACTGCTGTTTGGGAACTTGCGTTCCATCATTGTGTTGTTTTACTTTCCTGGAGATGACAACTCGCCAGGATGTTCTGCTGAGGATTAGGTTCAGACTCGGCAGTCCTATGGAAATGGGTGTGTTCGCAAGAAGTCTTGTTCTAGACATACGGCTGCTGTGAGTTCATCTATTGTGTTTCTTCTTTTCCATTTACTTGTTCTGCAGCTTTACTGCATCGCCGGGCGCGAAAAGTATTTTCGTTGATTTCCTGGACGGCACGGACACCCACACCGGAGTACACTATGAGGTGTTTGATCGACGTGACGGCTCACTAGCGGTTCGTTACCGTCTCTATCGCAGCTACAAGCAGCTGCGGATAGTCGTGAGGAACGTGGAAAATGAGTGGATTGGATCGTCTCCGTACATCCTTGATAGCGTTGAGAGTGAGAATTGCTTTTGTCCAGCACCACTGGATGCATTCAAGATGTCGTTTCGTTGCCCGCTGGAAGGATATGAGCAGATTAAGGTGGACTTGTCTCGCTTTGGTGATGTCAATTTGACGCAAACCATCCCCGAGACGATATCTCGCTTCTCCGATGCTCGCGGGGCGTGTTTTGCGCACTATTCGATCATCAACAACAAGGTTAGTTTAGTGCAGTCATGCTGTGTGTGTAGGGGGGGGGGGTGGGGGGGATGGAGATAGAGATAGGCATGCATTTATGTTTGTAACACACACACACACTCACACTCACACACACACACACACACACACACACACACTCACTCACACACACACACACACACACCTTGGACCTTGGACGCGCTGCCATATTCTGGCTATGCGGACCCCATGGGGGGTTGAGCAGGTTCGGAACAGTAGGGGCGATGACGGGATAGGTCCTGTGGTCTACTGAAACGCCGACCGCAATTGCAAACGATACAGAAGGAGCTACGGTCTGTGTTGGTTGCTCTGGCCGAGCCACGGCTGCACTTGTGACGTTTCATGCCTTGGCGCGATAGCACACAGCGGTTGCAGCGGGCGCAGTGGAAACTGCAGCGTTCGCAGGACATATTGTTTGTAACCGGTGACTCAAGTGTGTCAGAAGATGCCTCTGCTGGTGATGTTGGTGGCGAGCACTTGTGTCGGGCAAATCCACCCTTGCTCCGGAACCATCTGTCGCACTGATCGCAGTGACAGCTTCCTGGCTGTTGGCTTACGGGTAGGGCACGCGTAGCTGTACACTTGTGTCGCTTCCTGTCACTTACACGACTGAAGGAGCGGTGACAAGTTTGGCACACAACCGGTGATGGTCGAGGTCTGTTCTGCTTGTCTGGCAGACAACGGTAAGCCTGGCGCCATTTGGAGCGAGAAGAGGTGGCCACTTCATACCAGTCGTCAAGTGGTTTGACGTCACTCCGAACACAGTCTCGCCACCTTTTCCGCGGACCATGGGCAGGTCTCTTGTTTGGAAACGAACCGAACAGTAGAGCCTTCGGGATGCGCTCATCCTCCATCCTTGCCACATGACCAAGCCACTCAAGGCGACGTCTGCTGAGACGACACTCCATGTCCAAGGTATCTCCCCAGCGCTCCAGAACTTCAACATTAGTTATCCTGTCATTCCATACATCTTGACGACTGATGCCCAGAATGGTGCGGACACAACGGAGATGAAAGACAGACAACGCATGAACATCAGCCTGTAGCGGTACCCAGCATTCGGACCCATAGAGCAGAGTCGACAGCACACTGACCGTTTGATGGATATTGTCAGTGTTACATCGTGGAATATCGATTTCTTCAGAGCGCCAAACGCTTTGGCAGCTTGTGCAATCCGGGATGTGACATCATCATGACATCGGCCGTTGCTGTGTATGTTGGATCCAAGGTAACGAAAAGACGACACATGGGCAATCTCCATAGTTCGAATCGCGAGCGGCTCTAGATCGTCGTTAGAGATGTTGGGGCCAGAGACCATGAACTTGGTTTTGGTGGCACTGACGGTGAGGCCAAAATCGCTGCATACATCCACAAATACCTCCAAGGCTGAAACTGCGGCCTGGCGTGTCGCGGCCACAAGAGCGGAATCATCAGCAAACTGACACTCTGTCAGCTCCAGGGATCTATCACGGCGGCTACGGTGGTGGAGTAGCTTCCCATCTGGCTCGAAGAAGACCTTTGCGCCTACACCAGGGATAGGCTGCACGTGCTGGCGCCAACAATGCATCACTGCCCACATGAAGATGTTGAATAGGACAGGGGCCATGCAACACACACACACACACACACACACACACACCACACACACACACACACACACCACACACACACACACACACACACACACTCACACACACACACACTCACACACTCACACACACACACTCACACACACACACACACACACACTCACACTCTCACACTCACACTCACACACACACACACACACACACACACACACACACACACACACACACACACACACACACACACTCACACACACACACACACACACACACACACACACACACACACTGTGCTATCTGTACATGTTTTAGATATCCGGGCAAGCCAGACTGTGAGCGCTTATCTATTCATGCTCGATCCTGTGCAGCTGTATGCCAAGGTACACGGCCCTCACACCGGCTTCCGCATGTTCAGCGATGCTTTCCTATCTTCACTCGTCAGAAAGGTATCGCCATTGTTGTTAGCTTGAAGCTAGACTTACTTTCGTCCAGTGTGCTCTACAGTGGAGATTGGATATAACAACACTCCTTCGGGAGAGAACAAAATGTCACTATAGTCGATCTCTCACTAAACCCGATCTTCACAAATTGACTTACTAAACGATTTGGGCAACAGAATTGTGTTGCTAAACTCAATCTGTCGTTATACGCAAGGTCATCATATCCGATCTCCACTGTACAGTATATTAATTTGAAACTCGGGTATTGAGCCAATAATACAAGTAGAAAGGAAAAGGACATATGGAAACGAGTTATTAAGAGTCGAATGTCTCAGTACTCTGTCAGGTTTGTGCCTAGTTGTTGCACTTTCTGACTGTATATAGTATCTAGTTACAGTGGTGGAGAGTTACTCTTAACTCGTTTCCATATGTCCTTTTCCTTTCTACTAGTATATTAATTGTTCGGATTGAGAGCCAAGGATGGAGCAGGTCTCAGGTCATTGAATGGCAGCATCACATCAGTCAGTATCACATCCGTCAGTTTTGTGCTAATTGTTGCACGTTCTGACTCACCGGCATCTTGCTTATATTTGTTAGTGTTGGACACAAACAACGGATAACTTGTTAACCTTCGGTCCTTCTTTTTTCATATTAATTTTCTACTAATAGCAGCGGGCAGTTTGTTGCATGCTCGTCTAGACGGTAATCGGAAGTTCTTCCAGGGAAATCTACGGAGGTCTCATCTGTCATTTTCGTTTCATCTCCTACCTCGTCAAGTCGTGCTAGTAAGATTGCATGCGCTGTTGCAGCGTGGGTCTAAACAGTGTGCATGCGTGCTGTCAAGGCCCACTGTGATCAGATTGTTCATATAATCCATATCCGGACAGCTACTAGTGGCTGTTTCGACACCTTGTTGTAGGCCTCATCAGTGGAGCTGAGAGTGCCTGGTCGAACCGATCGCAATGAAGTCTGATTAAATCGACCGAAAGCATCAACATCACCGTGCTCAAACTGCGAGAAACACCGCGTGTCTTGCATGATAATTGTTTATGTATATGTGTGTGTGTACAGGTAAAACTGGCGGATGTGGAGTTCATCGTTAATCTTGGTGATTACCCGCAAGAGAAGCGACTACACAGTGCTGACAAGCTACCTGTGTTCAGCTGGTGCGGCTCGACCGAGTACGCTGACATCGTCATGCCAACGTACGACGTAACCCAGGCAACCGTTGATAGCATGTCAAGGTGAGTGAGCATTGAAGACTGTGCTGTCAGATGCTGGATATTTAAACGCCGTGCTTCTAAAGGCAACTGATCTCTTGTTGCAGTGGTCACTCAAGGGACTCAACACGGGTTTTGATGTTTTGTGTTCTTTGTTGTTGCTGTGCTGTTCTGATGCATACACATGCACACGCGTACACACACACACACACGTGCCGACACATTACGTCATCTCTAGGGTTCACGTGGACATGATCTCCAGTCAGTCTCGGCTGGAAACTGGTGACTGGGAGCGGAAACTTCCCAAGGCATTCTGGCGTGGCCGTGATAGTAGACAAGAGAGGCTGGATCTTGTCAGGCTGGCGAAGCAACAACCCGATCTACTGGATGCCGGTCTTACAAACTTCTTCTTTTTCCGCGAACAGGAAGAGGAGCTTGGGCGAGTACCGTACGTCTCGTTCCAAGAATTCTTCAACGTAAGTGTGTGTGTGTGTGTGTGTGTGTGTGTGTGTGTGTGTGTGTGTGTGTGTGTGTGTGTGTGTGTGTGTGTGTGTGTGTGTGTGTGTGTGTGTGTGTGTGTGTGTGTGTGTGTGTGTGTGTGTGTGTGTGTGTGTGTGTGTGTGTGTGTGTGTGTGTGTGTGTGTGTGTGTGTGTGTGTGTGTGTGTGTGTGTGTGTGTGTGTGTGTGTGTGTGTGTGTGTGTGTGTGTGTGTGTGTGTGTGTGTGTGTGTGTGTGTGTGTGTGTGTGTGTGTGTGTGTGTGTGTGTGTGTGTGTGTGTGTGTGTGTGTGTGTGTGTGTGTGTGTGTGTGTGTGTGTGTGTGTGTGTGTGTGTGTGTGTGTGTGTGTGTGTGTGTGTGTGTGTGTGTGTGTGTGTGTGTGTGTGTGTGTGTGTGTGTGTGTGTGTGTGTGTGTGTGTGTGTGTGTGTGTGTGTGTGTGTGTGTGTGTGTGTGTGTGTGTGTGTGTGTGTGTGTGTGTGTGTGTGTGTGTGTGTGTGTGTGTGTGTGTGTGTGTGTGTGTGTGTGTGTGTGTGTGTGTGTGTGTGTGTGTGTGTGTGTGTGTGTGTGTGTGTGTGTGTGTGTGTGTGTGTGTGTGTGTGTGTGTGTGTGTGTGTGTGTGTGTGTGTGTGTGTGTGTGTGTGTGTGTGTGTGTGTGTGTGTGTGTGTGTGTGTGTGTGTGTGTGTGTGTGTGTGTGTGTGTGTGTGTGTGTGTGTGTGTGTGTGTGTGTGTGTGTGTGTGTGTGTGTGTGTGTGTGTGTGTGTGTGTGTGTGTGTGTGTGTGTGTGTGTGTGTGTGTGTGTGTGTGTGTGTGTGTGTGTGTGTGTGTGTGTGTGTGTGTGTGTGTGTGTGTGTGTGTGTGTGTGTGTGTGTGTGTGTGTGTGTGTGTGTGTGTGTGTGTGTGTGTGTGTGTGTGTGTGTGTGTGTGTGTGTGTGTGTGTGTGTGTGTGTGTGTGTGTGTGTGTGTGTGTGTGTGTGTGTGTGTGTGTGTGTGTGTGTGTGTGTGTGTGTGTGTGTGTGTGTGTGTGTGTGTGTGTGTGTGTGTGTGTGTGTGTGTGTGTGTGTGTGTGTGTGTGTGTGTGTGTGTGTGTGTGTGTGTGTGTGTGTGTGTGTGTGTGTGTGTGTGTGTGTGTGTGTGTGTGTGTGTGTGTGTGTGTGTGTGTGTGTGTGTGTGTGTGTGTGTGTGTGTGTGTGTGTGTGTGTGTGTGTGTGTGTGTGTGTGTGTGTGTGTGTGTGTGTGTGTGTGTGTGTGTGTGTGTGTGTGTGTGTGTGTGTGTGTGTGTGTGTGTGTGTGTGTGTGTGTGTGTGTGTGTGTGTGTGTGTGTGTGTGTGTGTGTGTGTGTGTGTGTGTGTGTGTGTGTGTGTGTGTGTGTGTGTGTGTGTGTGTGTGTGTGTGTGTGTGTGTGTGTGTGTGTGTGTGTGTGTGTGTGTGTGTGTGTGTGTGTGTGTGTGTGTGTGTGTGTGTGTGTGTGTGTGTGTGTGTGTGTGTGTGTGTGTGTGTGTGTGTGTGTGTGTGTGTGTGTGTGTGTGTGTGTGTGTGTGTGTGTGTGTGTGTGTGTGTGTGTGTGTGTGTGTGTGTGTGTGTGTGTGTGTGTGTGTGTGTGTGTGTGTGTGTGTGTGTGTGTGTGTGTGTGTGTGTGTGTGTGTGTGTGTGTGTGTGTGTGTGTGTGTGTGTGTGTGTGTGTGTGTGTGTGTGTGTGTGTGTGTGTGTGTGTGTGTGTGTGTGTGTGTGTGTGTGTGTGTGTGTGTGTGTGTGTGTGTGTGTGTGTGTGTGTGTGTGTGTGTGTGTGTGTGTGTGTGTGTGTGTGTGTGTGTGTGTGTGTGTGTGTGTGTGTGTGTGTGTGTGTGTGTGTGTGTGTGTGTGTGTGTGTGTGTGTGTGTGTGTGTGTGTGTGTGTGTGTGTGTGTGTGTGTGTGTGTGTGTGTGTGTGTGTGTGTGTGTGTGTGTGTGTGTGTGTGTGTGTGTGTGTGTGTGTGTGTGTGTGTGTGTGTGTGTGTGTGTGTGTGTGTGTGTGTGTGTGTGTGTGTGTGTGTGTGTGTGTGTGTGTGTGTGTGTGTGTGTGTGTGTGTGTGTGTGTGTGTGTGTGTGTGTGTGTGTGTGTGTGTGTGTGTGTGTGTGTGTGTGTGTGTGTGTGTGTGTGTGTGTGTGTGTGTGTGTGTGTGTGTGTGTGTGTGTGTGTGTGTGTGTGTGTGTGTGTGTGTGTGTGTGTGTGTGTGTGTGTGTGTGTGTGTGTGTGTGTGTGTGTGTGTGTGTGTGTGTGTGTGTGTGTGTGTGTGTGTGTGTGTGTGTGTGTGTGTGTGTGTGTGTGTGTGTGTGTGTGTGTGTGTGTGTGTGTGTGTGTGTGTGTGTGTGTGTGTGTGTGTGTGTGTGTGTGTGTGTGTGTGTGTGTGTGTGTGTGTGTGTGTGTGTGTGTGTGTGTGTGTGTGTGTGTGTGTGTGTGTGTGTGTGTGTGTGTGTGTGTGTGTGTGTGTGTGTGTGTGTGTGTGTGTGTGTGTGTGTGTGTGTGTGTGTGTGTGTGTGTGTGTGTGTGTGTGTGTGTGTGTGTGTGTGTGTGTGTGTGTGTGTGTGTGTGTGTGTGTGTGTGAAAGAGAGGAGAGGAGAGATAAATGACTAGTTACATGTGTTGTGGGTGTGTACGCGGGGAGAGCATGTCGTGCAGTTTGTGATTGCTGCCAGCTTGCATGTACATTGTAGTGCACTGTACATGCATGAACACGCATATTTGTTAGTGACTGCAATTGCCTTCTCACAGTTTGTTGCATTTTAATGCTTGGTGTGTGTGTGTGTGTGTGTGTGTGTGTGTGTGTGTGTGTGTGTGTGTGTGTGTGTGTGTGTGTGTGTGTGTGTGTGTGTGTGTGTGTGTGTGTGTGTGTGTGTGTGTGTGTGTGTGTGTGTGTGTGTGTGTGTGTGTGTGTGTGTGTGTGTGTGTGTGTGTGTGTGTGTGTGTGTGTGTGTGTGTGTGTGTGTGTGTGTGTGTGTGTGTGTGTGTGTGTGTGTGTGTGTGTGTGTGTGTGTGTGTGTGTGTGTGTGTGTGTGTGTGTGTGTGTGTGTGTGTGTGTGTGTGTGTGTGTGTGTGTGTGTGTGTGTGTGTGTGTGTGTGTGTGTGTGTGTGTGTGTGTGTGTGTGTGTGTGTGTGTGTGTGTGTGTGTGTGTGTGTGTGTGTGTGTGTGTGTGTGTGTGTGTGTGTGTGTGTGTGTGTGTGTGTGTGTGTGTGTGTGTGTGTGTGTGTGTGTGTGTGTGTGTGTGTGTGTGTGTGTGTGTGTGTGTGTGTGTGTGTGTGTGTGTGTGTGTGTGTGTGTGTGTGTGTGTGTGTGTGTGTGTGTGTGTGTGTGTGTGTGTGTGTGTGTGTGTGTGTGTGTGTGTGTGTGTGTGTGTGTGTGTGTGTGTGTGTGTGAAAAGACCAAAAATTAGGGATTCACTGGCCAGAAAAAGCCACTTCATAGCTGTGTGGTGTAGACCAGGCTGAATAGTGGCGGTCAATTCTTCAGCCTTGCAACCTGTTGAATGGTGCAATCCCAGCACAAGCTGCTATGGCTTCTGCTGTAGCATCGCTATCAACGCCTCCGGCGATGGGCGTCCAATGGTCCAATGGTGTGTGCACCCATATGGTGCAGTGGTATGTGCAGCGATTTCCAATCGATAGGTAGCGGGTTCGATTCCCGACGATTATGGTCACACACGTCTTTCTTCTCTTTCTCAGACTCTTCCTGACTTTTCTTTCATTCTCCTGGGTGGTTACCAACAGCCAGTGTATGCCGGAGTATGTGGTGTGGTGTGTGTGTAGAAAAAGAAAAAAAAGAAACAAAAAGAAAAAAAGAAAAAATGGAAAAATGAAAAATAGGGATTCACTGGCCAGAAAAAGTCACTTCAACAGCTGTGTGGTGGATACCAGGCTAAAAATAGTGGCGGTCAATTCATCAGCCTTGCAAGCTGTTGAATGGTGTAATCCCAGCACAAGTTGCTATGTCTAACATAGCTGTTCGCTATCATCGCTCCCGCGATGGGCATGTCTAAGGTCTAAGGTGTGCATGTGTGTGTGTGTGTGTGCATAAAGGTGCACATGTGTTTGCTTTGTCAATAATACGGAGACGTCTCACTTCGTCTAGATTGTAATGCACAGTAGAAAGAGAGGAAGCTGTGTTGGAACTCGAAGCTTCTCGTTAACTCACACTCGTCAGGCAACTGGCAGCGGTAAACTCTGAGTTACAACAAGGCTTCCCATCCCTATCTGCTGTGTGGAAAGCTCTGCCTAAAACAGGCACTGAGTACTGTTGGGGCTATGGAGCACCTGCTGGCTGGGGAGATTGTAGTGTCGTCTGATAGTTGCCGTGCTGTTTTGTTGCAAGATATGACTGTGTGTGTGTGCGCATGCGTGCACATCTGTGTACTGTACGCTGTTGTTGCTGTGATCTCCAGCACAAGTACCAGATCAACCTTGACGGGACCGTGGCCGCATACCGCTTTCCCTGGCTGTTGGCGGGAGGCTCAGCCGTGCTCAAACAAGACTCTCCCTACTATGAACATTTCTACAAGCACTTAGAAGCATGGACACACTATGTGCCCGTAAAGCGTGATCTCAGTGACTTGCTCAAGCAGATCCAATGGCTGAAAGAGAATGAAGAAAAGGTAAAACCTGTTCTGTGATGTGTCTGTGTAGATTGTGCTATTTATTGAGTTTACTATCGTCGCTGTGCGTGGTGTGCTGTTTGTACATGTACATTGTGCGAAAGACCTGTGTGTGTCTGTGTGTTTGTGCGTGCACGTACGTTTGACTGCGTGTACGTATGTGTGTGTGTGCACATTTCTTTTGTTCTGCAGGCCAAGGAGATAGCGCGAAATGGCGTTCAGTTTACTCGGGATCACCTCATGCCGGAGAGCATCTACTGCTACTACGCACTGCTCTTTCAGGTAACCATACCGTGACTGTACTGTTACTATGCACTATGCGCTGCTATTTGATTGCTATGCACTGCTATTTGAGGTAACCATACCCATGTGGGTCTATTGATAGCATCAAGAGTACATAACCCCCAAGAGTGTGCAACTGTCTGCACAACCTCTATGCTGTGCTGCGACGGCAGAACTTCACATCAGGTGACATGGTTCAAAAGGTTACACTGGCAAACAGTGCAAAGTGACCACAAGAATTATGTACCCAAAGCTGGGTTGCGCACAGCCCTGTATCAATCATGCACAGAGTGCAAATAATGTGGACGGGTTCATCACGTGATGTGAAGTTCTGCCGTCGCAGACCCCATAGCTGGAGTTGCACACTCTTGGGGGTTATGTACTCTTGATAGCATTGTTACTATGCACAGTGCATTGGTGTAAGTGTGGGTCTACCCGTACATAATGATGCACTATACAAATTTCCCAACACTCGTTTCCGTTGCAGTAGCTTCTGCTGCTAATGTAGTGTCACACTGAGTAGTCATGCCCAGTTTCATACTGCTACTGTTGTGGGCGTTGGACTCCGTTAGGAAATCAAGCAGCCACAGGTCGCTGGCCTTGCAGCCGTGAGCAATGCAGGTTCCTTTTTGCAGTGTGTATGTGAACTACAGTGCGTGTACGCGCTAAAAGCAGTAAGGGCGCCGGCCCCGCTCATTCCACCTGATGTCAATGTCCACAACATTATGTGTAGAGAGGTGTGTAACCACATTATTATTATTTATTCATATTTTAATAGGGCAGTCCACATGGCTGCTCTAGTCATTAGCCTTAGGTCAGAATGTCCTTTACCTCCATGGCCCTTAGCATGTGTTCTGTGTTGTGCTGTGCTACAGCAATACGCTGACAAACTGAGAACGCCTGCGACTGTTCGTGATGGCATGGTCGAGGTGGAGCAGCCCAAGTCCACTTGTGATTGTAATGAGGTAAGTACAGTCACCCCTTGGGGCCAGAGAAAGCGGTCTTTAGTAGCAGGTGGTCCTTAGTTAGAGGTTTGCACCGCACAACCATAATAATTAATGTGAGAAGTACCAGGCTAGTCGCTAGTCACGGTGGTCTTTAGTTACAGCTTCTACTGTAAGACAAAATTCGATAAGGTTTTCTACACTAGCTCCCATGTGAGGGTGGTTCATGGCTGAAGATTTGGTGGAATTAGAACCGGGGACCAGAGACGTGAAAACTAATCCTGCCTCTAAAAATGCTTTATAGTGTGTGTGTGTGTGTGTGTGTGTGTGTGTGTGTGTGTGTGTGTGTGTATGTGCATGTGTGTGTGTGTATGTGGTGTGTGCATGTGCATGTATGCGTTGGCAGAATTCAAGCCCCCGTGATGAGCTCTAACCGTGAGACTAACTTGGCTACGAGTAATGGCTAGTACCATGGCAGGCAAGGGCAGCGCAAGACATGGAGTACAGGGGCAGACCCCTGACTCTCACCCTGCTCGCTGAGGTAGCTTCGTCATGCAGTGCTCAGCAGTTTAGTGATAATGCTTGGAATGCTCGCTGCGGCAACGGCTCACGAACAGAGGTATGCTTTCAGCCGGGCACCAATTTAGTGAAAGCTTCTAACATGCTGCTCAAAGATGATGTGCGGAATTCAGAATGCTGTCAGCTCTTCAAGATCAGGTGATAATCTACTTGCTGTGGAGAAACGTAGGACGGTAGGTGGCAGCTGGGCGTCACTGGTAACCTTCCTGCACTGGAAAGTTCCCAGCAGGTTCTGGGATCCTCTCTGTAGGTGCACTTACTGTGACTTAGGCACGGTAGCCCATACTGTGTGTAGTCAAGTGCATGTACCCACCTCTACACACCATACATGTATGTACCTCTACACACCATACATGTGTTTTCAGTAATAGGTTTAGACTTCCTTTATGAGTCGGTAGGAATCGAGGAATGAAGTCGGTGACTGTTGCTTGTATCTGTGCTGCTAACATATAATTCTACTAACACTAGCAGAGTAGGAATCCGTATCCATCCCTGCAGTACATGTACATCAGCAGTACATGTACACATCACATTCTGCCACCGTGAGCACACGCCACCACTACCTGCAACGAGATGGCAGCACGCATTGTTGATTTTACTTCAGTAGGGAAATTAAGGTCAGGAGAAGAAGCAGCAGCAACAGCTGTCGGCCTATATTAATCAATCATTGGATTAGTGCAGCCTTTCACATGTTCATCATCAGCATGTTTATCCTAAAAACGTTATTGGGAAAAGGTAAAAAAATGGAAGAATACATGAAAGTTTGTTTAACTCTATTTGCTGATGAGTGATGAAGGATATGATCAAAAATGGAGAAGAATAAACGAAGAATAAAACCTAAGCTAAGAAACTAAATAGGTAAGGTTGACACTAAAAAACAATGCCGTGTGAATTTCAGGCAGTGTACTGTTCTAATGGAGTGTGGGGTTGTCAGCCGTGTGCACTCCAGCACTCTTGCAGATCTCTTGTCGGTTGACTCTGAATGTACGAGCAGTTGTATAATCGTATCGTTGCATTGGAGTCGTCGTCCATCACTGGCCACCACGCCCAACTCTACGCAGGTAGCTCTCCGCATCGTCAGCCTTCACACCGGACATTGCGGAGCTCTTCGGTCGGCCAGTGGCTGGCTCCATACCCAGCCAGTACTGAGGATCACGTCTGAACAACACACAAACACGATCCAGGTTGAGGGACGTGAAAATGGGGAAAAGCGTGAAGAAAAAATTGACTGCCATCTGGACTGACCCAGGGACCCTGTATTATGTGGGCTGGGATGCTCTACCACTATGCACTAAGCTATGGTGTAGTAATCATCCAAGCAGAGGCTATCCCTCAATACATTTAATAAATTTACCAGTTCTGAAATAATTAAACCAGTTGTTGTTTGCTATGGATTTGCAGATTCCATGCCATTTCGGCGGCGCACTCAAGTTCAGCGCCAACCACGTGAGCGTGACCGTTTCAGCGCCGGATTTTACAGTGCCAAATATTTCAGCGCCGAATATCTCAGCGCCACATAAATCAGCGCCGTATATTTCAGCGCCAATTTATTATACAGTGTGTATGTGTGAACATGGCCTGTAATGACTATGACTGTACAAGCACTTCGAGTACTGTATTGACTTCGCGCTCTACTGTATAGCGCTGTACTTTATCGCACTGAACTGCTTCGCGCTATAAGTTATAAGTTTACGTTTTCGCGCTGAGTTGCTTGCGCTGATAGTCATGGCGCTGAAGAAGCGGGCGCTGTGAAATCAGGCGCTGAAATGTATCGCGCTGAAACGGTCACGCTGAAGTGGCAAGTCACCTCTGTTGCATTGCCCGTATCAGTATGGAGAGATAGCAGCTCACCTCTGTTACATAATATTCAGGTTACATCACCACGCCACACTGCAGTCTTGGCTTGGCTGACTCGCTTGACCAGCATGACCATTTTGAGCAAAATTCAGTAGGTATACTAGTATTTAAATTTCACACCTAGAAAGTGCTCCAGCAGACACACCTCTGAACCAAGCATGCTACCCTGTCCCCACAGAATAACGCGGACGAAATCCTAAAATTATGTGCATAATTATGCAGGCGAAAACAGGCCATTATGCGGCAAATATGCGGTATAATGCGGTAATTATGCACGAATTCTCTGTTATTTGTACAACTTTAGCATGCAGTTTCATGCAAGTATACAACTTTGTCGTACAAACTCATGCAACGGTACGACTTTGTAAATTGTAGTACATTTTCAACATTATTATAAATGTACTATTTTCTTGTACATCCCATGAATAACGTGGGTTTTACGCAAAATCTCTCGAAAACGCGGAAAATTGTGCGTCCGCCTGGGGACAGGCTTCCCTTATTCAGGACACAATTCACTGTTCCCAGTCAAGTTGTACTGATTCTAAGGCAACTCTACAATCCTGACACCTTCCCTAAAAGGATAGATGAGTCTGATCCCCACCGTATCTGCAATTGATGGGTTCCATTGATAATATCCATCATGGCAGATAGTCAGTCCCCTATCTGAACAGACTGATGTTATCCGATTGCCAGAGTATTGACACTACCTACCGGACACCCAGTCAACACTGTGATGCAGTCAGAATGTTCTTGTTCCACCCAAAACACTATTTCTGAGAGTGGATTGAGCATGCACAGTGCCCACTAAACTTACTTTGTGACCTGTGAGCGCTTCTTGGCCTCTTCGAGCCACGTGCCGTAGCGCTGTGTGACCGGTGCCATGATGCCGCGCTCGTCTTGCAACTGTACATTGTTGTGTTATGATAGTGTGCAGTCACGGTGTCAGTGGGGTGATGGCAAGGAGACAAGACAGGACGTGAAGACACACACACACACACACACACACACACACACACACACACACACACACACACACACAGAATTGGTGCTGCTGCAATTGATCACACTGGCAAGTGAAATTGCAACAGGCACACGCTCCATACGCCCCAAAAAAGCAGCCTCCAACGCACAATATATACTCAGCCATTCTAGTCATGCATGACTCATACAACCCAAACAAACAGACTAAGGGACCATCCGGCATGATCGATAAATTTCGCGCGAAGAACAGTTTGATGCGTGTCTAAGGCAGTAAGCACTCACCGCCTCGGACATGGCCCGGATGTGCCTCGGCTCAAATCCACAGCAGCCTCCGATGTAGCGAACACCTAGGTTGAAGGCGTCCACAGCATATTTGTGTGCATCAGTACGACTTATCGTTCTAGCATCCAGAGCTGCAGGGTTACAACACAATTCACACAAAAACATGACATGCAGGTTTTGAATTCTTTGCAGACTCTAACACAGTCACTAGCAAGTACTCGTCCACTCATTAGACGGGATTCACAGCAGCATGTTTGAGGTGCAATGCGCGATGCGACATGATCTGCGATGCCGGAGTACGATGCAAACGCACAGAATGTGGTTCACAGAAGAAGTCAGCAGTGCAACCTGGCTCTGATGACCATGAACATGTTGTAATCTATACAGCATGCCTCAGACAGACTGCAAGTACTGTAAAAGCAGAAATTATCGATGGTGTAATAGTTTCTGTATTCTCCAAAACCGGCGGTTCGGTGGAGGGAAATTTTCGGTAAACCCGTTTTCCAGGTAAGTGTACTACCAAGAGTCCATAAACAAGAGTATGCAACTGTGATCTCTTTTCTATGGCCATAGTATGGGCCAGATGCGCGGCGCGCTGCCTTCATTACATCATTCAGCTGCAGCCTGGGCACTGCGGAACATCAAACACCGCACTTTCCCTCTGGTTTGAAATGAACTTTTGTACGGAACTGGAGTTCACGCGGCAAAATTTAGAGATCGCGTAGGTACTGGAACAAATCGAGCAAAACCGGATGGGCTCGTACGAGAAATTGTGGGTTTGAGTGCATGCTTTCAGAGCGTGATGAAGGCAAATTACGTAATGAAGGCAGCGCGCCGCGCACTGACCCATAACCACAGTTGCATACTCTTGTTTATGCACTCTTGGTACTACTTGTAGTGCTAGTAGTACCAACATTTTCGGTTGTATTTTAGGTAAAAATTGTTGGCGCCGAAGTTATCGAAAATAAAACCTCACCGAAAATATCTGCTTTTACAGTAAATACAATACATGCAGCAAGTGTTGCTCACCAAATGGGAACTCGTACATGGACTGATAACCGACAAGACCGGCATCGGGAGTGTGATAACCAAACGGCTGCACTGCAAGGTAGATGTGATTCATCCCGGCTGCTTCCAGTCCCTGCTTCATCATGGCCACGGTTTCCAGGCACTTGGTCGGCCCGAAGCGGCAGTTGACACCCACCACGTGAGCACCGGCCTGTGCAAGTCGTACGGCGCAGTCCTGAGGTGACACGCCGTCGATATCGCCCTCGGGTCCGATGCACACCGTTGCCATCACCGGCTTGCCGCAGCGTGACAGAACCTCCACGGCCCAGCTCGTCTCCTCAGTTGTGTCCAGATACTGCAGTCATAACAACAACAATAATTATTGTTTTCACATAGAGGGTTCAAAGGAGGTTTACAGAGTCTGTTGCAACTCCGAGTGCATTGTGTTGAGCCCTCTTTGCTGGCTACAGGAAACCTCTTTGTGTGAAACAAATTTTTTAAGTATTTATTTCACGGCTCTCCCGAGACTCAATCAGAATAGAATTTTCCGCATCCGCAGGAACACCACCCTCAATACCAGCCTCAAGGATCAAGGCGCAGGTGCAGCTCCTAAAGCGGCGGGGTTGAGTAGATCAGACCCACCACCAAGTGGTCGCAGACCGAAAATCCCATTCGATGATGGAAAACTCAAGGTACAAAGGACATGGATTGATCAAAATTCAGCACCTTTGAGGGAAAGGGAAGCACAAAAGCAGTGCTATTGATAGTTCAAGACGTTGTAGGTCTACTCGGGGTCCTTGTCGCATACATGAACTTGAAACACTGGAACATTCACTGCATCCACACTGCTTGGAAGCTCGTCTCCTAGGGCAGTGACTTGATAGTACACACAGCGGTGTATTGTATTGACTGACGTGAACAAGGTAAACCGCATGAAGCAGTTGACCAATGCCAGGTTAAAACTAAGCTATGGTAGTGGTCATGAGATGGTGACAGGGTGTGCGGGAGAGCGGAACAGTCTGCTGATCCTAGTAGTGGGCATATTTAGCCAGGCTGGTGTTTAGTGTTATATGCACAGGCTCCTCTCTCTCTCTCTCTCTCTCTCTCTCTCTCTCTCTCTCTCTCTCTCTCTCTCTCTCTCTCTCTCTCTCTCTCTCTCTCTCTCTCTCTCACACACACACACACACACACACACACGCACACTGCTCAACCTTTCAGATGTTAGATCAAAGGCGAAAGTACAGGGTGAGGCATATTGTGCCATGGACCAGGCTTACCTCGGCGACAACAAAGTCAAAGGTGTTCTCCATGTAGAAGTCCAGCTGCTGCTGGAACTCGGCTTGTACAATATCTTTGCCGGCGCCGTTCTCATAGGACTCTGTCTTGGTCACGCCACCGGCTATCAACACATCGGTCTGTGCCCCGGAAGCAGCTTGCATCACTATCTCACATGCCGCCCTGTTGATACTTCCCTATGGACAGGACAGATTACAAGCAAACAAAAACAAACAAGCAGGCTCAAACAAGTACACCCTTGGATACAGCATGATAAAAAAAAACTTTCAAGAATGTTTTACAACTTAACACATGAAGTTACACATGGAGACACCTTTGATGACGAAACCTCATCCGATGGTATCATCAGCTATCCGCACTGCACGGGGTGTGTTGGTGCACGTGTGTTGCTGTTGTCAGAAATGAAGTCTTCGTCGTGAGTTTGTCATAATGCAGTTGTGTTTCCGTCGTTTACTTATCTTTCAAATGTGACTATCTCGTCCAATTGTCTAAATGTGGAGACGGCACAGGGCTGGGAGCAGGAATGAATAACAAAAATACTACGCAAGACCAAGTGTATTTTGGAAAACATCGATGTGTGAACCCCTGCATGAGAGTTAGTTCTGTGTAAGACTTCTCATTGACTATCAAACTGGGATTCGAATATACATGTACCGTAAAATCCCGCCAGAGCGCCCCTACCTCCTCGACGCTTCAGGTGGAGAGGGACGGATGGGCGAGTCCTACTTGCCGCATTCAGTACTGTACATGAAAGTACTCACCCTACGAAAACTGCTCGTGCATCTCGTACACCGACCAAAGGTCAAGAGCCAGGAGTCGTACAGACCCGTCAAAACTCAGGTTTTGTGCGATCCCTGGTCAAGAGGGTGGGCACTGTTACGTACATTTCCAATGGGGTCGAGCACGCGTCTGCAGTACAGTACGGCATCACAGACTGTGACAGGGTCATACGAGGATACAACCAATCACGTCCCTGACAAGAAGTCAGGGAGGGGCGGATGGGAGAGACGGGGCGCTCTGGCGGGATTTTACGGTACATGTACATGACTGTACTCTTGAGGGGGTCCCCAATGGCATCCAGGCACTTTCCAAAAACTCTGAGGCATTGCTGAAGTCAAGAACAAACAGACGTGTCTATGATGCATGTACCGTATTTTCCGGAGTATAAGCCGCACTTTAAAGGGGAAGTTAAGGCAAAAATTAAAATTTCACCAGTTGTAGTCTTCGGGGTGCTGAGTCGAATGGTCTTGGTCCGAGAAAGCTGAGACGCTCCCTTCCTACTTGAATCCCAATCGAACTCGCGCATTTCCACCGAAACTGGGTGACTGCGCCCTACTAGATGGGGATTTGTATGCAAAATGTCACTAAAAGCGCCATTTCGTTCTTATAAAAGCACGGATGACCACGATTGGCCCATGTGTTGTAGTCTTTTGGACGCTGAGTCGACTGGTTTTGGTCCGAAAAGGCTGCGATGCAGCGTTCCTCCTTTATTCCAATCGAACATGGTTGAACAAGCGGTAACGTGCTCCTGGGTGCCCAAATCACCTGGTCACCACGCCAGCAGGCGACAACTTTCACACCAAGGTTCAACTCGAGTTCAACTCGAGTGACAGGACTGCACCCAAAAAAGGTCAAACAGGCTAGTAAGTTGTACCCTGCAGGCACGGTGACCAGGTGACTGGTGTACGCAGGAGCACGTGACCGCTTGTTCAACCATGTTCGATTGGGAATATAGGAGGAACGCTGCATCGCAGCCTTTTCGGACCAAAACCAGTCGACTCGCCGTCCAAAAGACTACAACACATGGGCCAATCGCGGTCATCCGTGCTTTTATAAGAACGAAATGGCGCTTTTAGTGACATTTTGCATACAAATCCCCATCTCGTAGGGCGCAGTCACCCAGTTTCGGTGGAAGTGCGCGAGTTCGATTGGGATTTAAGTAGGAAGGGAGCGTCTCAGCTTTCTCGGACCAAGACCATTCGACTCAGCACTCCGAAGACTACAACTGGTGAAATTTTGATTTTTACCTTAACTTCCCCTTTAAACACCAGTCATTCACCCAAGAAGTCGGTGCGGCTTATACAGTCAGACCTCGCTTAACCGCACACATCTGTTTTCCACAAAAAAACATCCGGATAGGCGAGGTAACCGGATAACTGAACACACATACTGTGTATGCATGTGGCATGTCAAAAGCAGTGACATTGTACACACATGTAGACGGGTCCTATGCAGTACAACTAGCGTACACAGTATGTAAAACAAGCGAGAAAAATGACAAGTGCAGGCAACTGAGTGCTGTCCGCATACACCCAGCAGGTCAAGGACCTCATTTGCTTGCACAACTCCCTGATACTAGCTTCTGCAAGCGCTAGCCAGCCACATGCAACCGGATACGACGAAGCTTTTTGTAGACATTTTAACCAGTTTGTACACAAAATCATTCACCGGTATGCGGATCGCGAGGTCTGCTTATGTTGTATGCAAACATATGCTGCACATCGGTACCCAGCGATTTTCTTCCGGATGGCGAGGGATCCGGATAAACGAGGTCTGATTGTACTACGATGGTCAAATTAATGGCGATAAATAGGGCGGATATCTGTACTTGGTGACAACAAATCTGGGTGCGAATTACTGTAAACCGCCCAATATTCGCGTCACTAAATTTTCGCGATTTCTCAGAACCAGCAAGTTTGCGATGGCAAAAGTTCGCGAAGCACTGGGGCCACTTACATACACCCACTGTTGAAGTTGGATTTCACGATGGTTAATATTCGCGTTATGCTCTTTTGAAGTCTTTTCCGCGGAAATAGTGAACATTAATCCGTCGCGAATATTAGGCAGTTTACAGTATACTGGAATGTGGCGTACACTCTGGAAAATAGTACAAAATACACTGCATTGCTGTATCATAGATACACTTACGGTTGTAGCACGCTCTTCAGCGCGTGCCGACCAGAAGGTACAGGCCTGGAGAACGTCCGCTCCGTTGTGAATGAACTCACGATGTACCTGCAGCACTGTGACACAGTGCACGATGGCCGCCCGAACAACAACAACAACAACAACACAACAACACAACAAACAAGACACATCATCATGGACTTTGTATGGGAGTAGATGGGGAATAAACAATTTCTTTCTTGTTTCTCCGCAACAACGAATTTCTTGCCAGATTTTGTTTCCAGTCGGGATACCGGTAAGGTGCGATATGTCCCATATTGAAGTTTGAAAAACATCCGACATCTTTGGGACAATGAACAGCCAACATAATGCTATTTCCCCATCTATTCCCATGCTAAGTGCAGTGCAGTGCACTTTATTGTAGTAGGGTAGGACGTGTGCCCCCCCCCCCCCCCTCTCTCTCTCTCACACACACACACGCACGCACGCACGCACGCACACACACACACACACACACACACACACACACACACACACATATGCGTACAGACCTGCAAAGCTACCAAAGCGGTTGAGTATCAACAATGTTCCCCTGTGCAGCGCCTCTAGCTTACCTGTGTCACGGTGCTCGATGGCTGCCTCCGGAGTGAAGCCAGCGCTTGCATAGCCGCGTTGCTGCATTGTCCAGATCATGCCACCGTCACCGACAACAACACCCTCAGACAGCCGCTGCAGCAAGTCCTTCTTCAAACTCTGCCGCCGGATAATCGTGGAAGAGTAACACCATAACAATGCAGAACAGCTTTCGACGTTGTGTTGCAAAAGAAGGATCCACGAGCGGGATTCGAACCCAGCACCTTGTCTTTCCGGGACAGTTCCCTACCGATTAGGCTACCGGAGATCACACACACACACACACTCATGGGTCCTTCTTGCTACACTGCTCCCTCGCCCCAACAGGCTGTGTCCTCACGTCATACCTACTCGCGCGCGCGGGGGGGGGGGGGGGTACGATGGGTCGTGCCATTGCCAGGCGCCAATGTTGCAAAAGAAGGATCCACGAGCGGGATTCGAACCCAGCACCCCTGTCCGTGTAAGGTTCCTGGACAGTGCCATTCCGATTAGGCTACCAGGGGTCGCACACACACTCATGGGTCCTGCTTGCTAGAGTTGGTAGCACGTGCACTTAATTTAATTTTTTTAATGTTTTACTGAAGACACAACTTACTTGTAAGAAGAGGGAAGAGAAGTAGCAGGACAACACAGCACTGGGAAGAGTAGGGGCTCCAAGAAAGAACCTGTGCTGGTGAGGCAAGCCAACAACGCCGACCTGTGGTCTCGGCGTTGCCGCGAGCTTGCGCACCATGGGAGTTGATGGGGAGAGGGGAGGAGCATGCACAGTTGTGGCCAAAGAAATTCGACGTGCGAGTCGAAAGTAGCGCCGCATTTCTATTCCAATTAGTACATCATGCACGATCCAAAAGCGCATCCGGAGGCCGCAGGAGCCGCATGAGACTTGGCGCCGATTTCGGCCCATGGGTTAGATTTCTTTGGCCACAACTGTTCCTATAACAAAACCGAAAAAGATTGACAATTACGCATCGCAGTGAGTGCGTTCGATTATGCCAGCGAATCGATTCGCACTATTCACATCACGTACCCAATGTGAATAGGGTGACTGGATTCTGAATCGATTCCAAGGCTCATGACATGAAATTGAACGGCGAGAATCCATTCATGAATCGATTCAAGTGCGTACTCGAACGCACTCAGTAGCAGCTCGTCGTATGTCACGTATCACAGAAAAGGTCTCAGTCACACAGTGTGGACACTGGATAGTACTGCTTGACACATCATGTGATATCAACATGGACATAGCCACAGGCACGGCAGTCACCACCCGCATCATGGCAGGTGGTTTCTTGCAGAGCTTGCACAGAAACGAAACATTCACTGAAGTGACTGCTACATTCTGAATGTACTCGGGTGGAGAAAAAAAATCACGGTTTAGCTATACACATAACACACCAGGTCGGTCACCAGAACGTCTTCTATATTGACATTGTAGAGGGGACGGTTCGATACCGGAACGGTTTGACAGCCAAAGTTGTATAGACCCAAACGGATCATCAGCGTGGATTGTTCACTCGAAATATGTTTGTGGAAGGAAACTGGCATGTTGAAGTTTGCTCTGAGGCCAGAGTCAATCCAACTGAGCCACTCCTTTGTGTTGGCCCATTGCCTCCAAGTTGTCCAATTTTTCGCTTCAAATCAGATGTGGCTCCAAACCGGAAAGGTTTTAGAGTTCACGTCAAATTCACTCTGAGTTCTGAAATTAGGTAATTGATATCGCTCCACGACGGCCAGTACAGAGTAGGAATAAGCCTTAAGTGTGCTACCATTAGTTTTCATTGGTATCGTAGGTGCTTTATTGGCGAGAGGCGAGCCGCTGTTTACCTGCTACAATAAGTTGATTTTTCGAAACACGTAAAACTCAAGTCACAGTGCGAAGCAACACGTCACTCACCTGCTTGGTATGGCGCTTCTGGTTATCGCAGAGCCATGCAATTTTGGCTCGGAGTAAAACACATCGTCTCACTGAGTGCGTTCGATTATGCCCGCGAATCGATTCAAGTGCATTCAAGTCGTTCGATTTTCACGCCATGAGCCCTGGAATCGATTCGGAATCCACATTCACCCTATTCACATGGGGTGGTGTGAATAACGTGAATCGATTCATGAATAGATTCGCGGGCATAATCGAACGCACTCACTGTGACATATGTTTTCTAATCTAAATACCAAGAGAGAAAGTGAATATTGAGTCCGTTCCTGTTTGCAACCTATTTCCCATTTGAACCCGTCCCCTCTACAGTGTATTAGGAATATAGCAGCCAATGTAGATCTACACAAACAGAAGGACGAATAGTTGCAATTATTTCGTAGCTTTCGTGAAACTCTCTCAGAGTTACGAAATTGGGATTGTTCGTTCCTCCGTTTGTGCATTCCGCTCTTTGCCTCCGGCAAATAATAATCGAGCCCTCTACGCGTGTACCTGGTATACGGACGGTGGATGAACCTCACATAGCAGCTAATGTATTTCCATTTTTCCCCGAACAGAGGACCTAGGGTGGTCTAGCCGGCTCACTGCCAGATCGCTAGTGTCCGTGTTGTTGTGGGATGGATATGATTGAATAGTCACGGTCCCCGCTGGCCGCAGTTGCGTTCCGGCACTCACTCACCCTCTTCGCTTCTGGCTCTTCTGCCATTGGCATGGGTTCGTCCATTCCGTCCATGCTTGTTCACGTATTAGTCTAGCCTAGCACCTGACCGGCGAGCAGTCTCTACTCTCCTCTAACTCTCTACTACTCTAGCTACCAACGCAACGCTCGACGCAGAGTCACCAAGCACTGACGGCCGCTCAAGAAGAAGGCACTCCTGTCGTTCTGACAACTGGTTGAGAGCCCCGTGTTGTTTTTGACTTTGAAAGAAGGACATATTAGGTCCAAATCTGAGCAATACACAGCAGCGGGACTACTAGTCGACTGGCTCTGCGAACCACTCCACAACATTCGAAGTTTACCGCCAAAACCAGGCCGAAGTCGACGATATCGATAGTCGATAGGGCTTGGGTAGCCGGGACGGCGGGAGTAGCCGGGGCCGTGAAAGCGGACTTTTGAAGTTTTGTGTGCGAAATGCGAATGCGCATATGCATAGTCGACGCGTCGCGTCCCTAGCATGCTATCATGGATCAGTGTGGATAGCGCTGCGGCAGCCTGCGGAGAAGTGCGGGCCGACCACCAGGACTTCTGGTGTGACGTCACGCTTCCTGCAAATAATACCGAAAAAATTACTTCTTTCCTGAACTTCGAATAGAGTTTGAACTGAAAGTTGGCGGGAATCAACACGCGGCGCCGATTTTCGTCTGCATGCTGGAAGGTGAAATCCCAACTCGCCAGCCAAAGCCGAAGGCAAAGCAGCTCGCATTCCTCTGCCAGGCTCGTGTGCTTTCATTCACCTCTAGCTCTATAGTTTTATGTTTCTGCTCCGCAGATCTGCTGGTTTTGCTTCACACGAAAAGTAAACAACGCATATTATCGTGACAGAGCCGGTGAATCGTGACTGATTTCCCTTTCGCTGAGCAGCTGAACACTTGTAGCTGGTTGGTGCAATTGTTGTTTGTCAGCGTAGTAATAGCAGTTCAGTCCTTGTACTCAACCCGTAGTAGCAGACAGACTACGGGTTCCGATAGACAATAGGAAAAGTCAGTAGAACTCAATACACCTAGCGGAGTTATTCTGAAAATGGCTCCGAAAAAGAGAAAGGCATCTCAAGCTGCTGCCGAGCCAGAAGCACCCGCACCCAAGCGAGGGAAGGCCGCTGCAGCAGCACCCAGCACAAAGAAGGCCACCGTCAAGACCACTCCAAGGGGCAAACCGAAGGGTAAAGCGGCCGCTGCGTCCGACAGCAAACCCGCAGCTTCAAGCAGCAGCTCAGCAGCCAGCACCATAGCACCAATCTCAATCCCTGGCGCTTCTGATGAGGTCATATCTCTTGTCAAAGAGAAGGTAAAGTCCTGAAAAGCTGCCTGGATCATGAAGTGATGTGCTGGGTCTTTTTGTCCAGTTTTCAATCATTTCTTTGGGATCACAGTGATCCTGGATATCTGCGTGCATACAGTAAGACTGTTGGTTTTCAGATCACCAAAACAACACCACATTCAACCGGTACTGAGCTGTTTGAGACACGCTCGTACTTTCATTAGCTACTAGAGAGGTTAAGTTTCACGTAAAATTCCTACTGTCGTGGACATGGAAATCCGGCCGCACGTCTAGCAGCCCCAGGGCGCTGGCCATGCAGGCTGCCGTGTGAAGCGGCACACACATCCATGTATGCGCTGCAGCGCGCTGGTCGCATCGGATCAACATTACTGTGCACCGCATGCAACGTTCTGTACGCGCTGAGGGCGCCGGCCCCGGTCATTCGACTGGATTTCCATGTCCACGACAGTACGTCCGTGAACTTTTACCGTTTGACGTGTTTTACGTGAAGTGCTATAGAGTCCGCTGGTACTGGAGTGGGTGCTGCAGTTGAGTCCCGTGACATCATCAGTGCACACGCTGTGCAATGATGAGGTCACCATTGTTTTCGCTGAAAAATTGCTCCATGCATTTCTTGCTAAGCACTCTGGTGGCGTCCGCATTACGTTTTTGATTCCGAAAAACTAATACTAAGTGTGAATGTGCTGTTCGGAAGGTGTCGTTCAGATTTACGAGCAGCTTTCCTTGTGGAGTTTTCAACCTGTGTGTGTTTAGTGCATACGCACATCTCCCATCAATGCGATGACATTCGCTACAAGCTGTGTATGGAATTGCCGCCCGGCACACATAGTGGGTGAATGGTTACGATTACACGTACTTCGTTTGTCTCTGTGTATGCGGGCTTATTTGTGTGTGTGTGTGCGTGTGTGGGCTTATGTGCGCGTGCAGTGTCGGTTACCAGACAAGTCCGGCGTTGCGCTGTTCTCTGGTGCAACTTGCTGGGATGAAGTCGGCCGTTCCAAGGACTCTAATGGTGAGTAGTGTGCACATGTCTTCACTCTGCTAACCTGCATTTGAAGTCCACCTTAAGGCCTGGCCGGCGTATGCTCTTGCCAGCTGACTTCAGGGCCAGCGAGTGCCTGTTTTGTTCGGCCTGTGTACTGGAATAGATACGCATGCCGGTATACTGCTGAATACGACATTTGTATTTGTATTTATTCAACATTTCCTGGCTCGTCAAACTACTGCCAATGACAAATGAATGTGAAATGAAGGGTGATAGCCAACCACGGCAACTATCCCAAACAGTAAAAAAAGAGTAGAAGGCATGCAGGAATCAAGACATGCACATGCATGTCAGCACCAAGCACTTGTCCAGTAGACCTTGTTCTACACAATCATCCAGGTTTAGCTTTTTAGAATGTAGAGAATAGTGCTCATCAAAAAGGAGAATTGAAAAAGGCTGTGAGGATATCTTGGAGGAAGGGATGGGAATGACTTGACACGTTGGCATTCATGCCTTGTTGCTGTGTTATAATACCCTTCTGTGTGTGTGTGTGCGTGTGTGTGTGTGTGTGTTTGAATCTATGCTTCTTGTCTCTGCCTTTGCGGACAGTCGTCTCTCCGTACTGCCTATTGTCTGCACACCGCGTGGACGCGCTGAAGGACCTTCGCTTCCGGCACATTGCGTCGGGCACCGCTGCTTGCCACACCATTCTGGTAACGGAGGACGGCACACCGTATGTGTGGGGTATGTAACCATGGTAACTATGTGCACTATATGTGTGGGGTGTGTAACTATGTGCACTCTATCATACCTGCCAAGTATCCAGATTTTTTTCGGGATTATCCCGCAATTTTGGATGAACTCCTGCGATCCCGAAATTCCTGTTGATTATCCCGAAATTCACTGTACAAGAAACAAGCTTGATATTGTACTTGGAGCACTTCAAATGACTGGTCACAGGCCAGTAGTTGTCCTTATTGATTCCGGACCGCCATAGCCTGCAGTACCAGTGGATCTACTACTAGTGCTCCTTCCATGAGCAGTCTCTGAAAAACCTCCGCTTTTTAGTCTTGAACATGTGTAAGTGTGATCCGATGATCACCATCGCGATATCGATCATCTATTATCGAAATGTTGGTGCCATCAAAAGTTGAAAAAGGATTTTTTTGGTAAAAATGTGACATATCCCGAAAAACCAAGGCAAATCCCGCGATTTTGCCATGGCGATCCAGAAAAAGCACTCTAAGTACTTGGCAGGTATGCTGTATGTGTGGGGTACATAGCCATGTGCACCCGATGTGTGGGGTATGTAGTGATTTGCACTGTACGGAGTCTGGTTTTCAAAAGGCCAGGTTAAGTGAACAGAAATTTTCGGTAGAGAGAAGCAGTTCCCTATTGGATTATGTGTGTTAGTGGTTGTTCGGTGTATTGAAATTTTAGGTATGAAACAGACGCATCGAAAGTACCGAAAATTTGTGAAATTACAGTATCCGGAACAATATCATTGGTTACCAATTTACAGCTTATGTGACAATGTCATGCATACATGCAGTATGTGTGTTCGATTATCCGGTTCCCTCGCCGATCCGGATATTTTTGTGGAAAACGGATGTGTGCGGTTAAGTGAGGTCTGACTGTACTGGTATTCGTAGCATTGTCGATTCCCTTCCTTGTACCATGGTGCACGTGGTGCACTAGAAAATGCAGGTACTAGAGCTTCGCATTCCAATACCCGCACCTTTCCACACTGACACCCCGTTGACTGCAATGGTGTGGTGCTGGCTGCCATTGGATCATTACGCGTATCTGTTGTCCAAGGGGTGCATCGGAAGTGCACGCAGTACTCCGGTGCCAACCAAGAATCTTGCCACTTGCCTCTCCATTGCTTTGCTGTTGGGGGTGCTTCAGAAATATTATTCAGTCGGTCGACTCTTCTTCACTTCAAAACTGTTGTGGCCTACAAACTATGGTGGGAATCATTGCCATGTAGAATTCCCGCCCGAAGGCACTATGTGCGTGTGTGCGTGTTTCGTTTGTTTTGCTTAGGACGTAACGATCGTGGACAGTGTGGAGCGGCCGCCTCTTCGTGCTGGTCTGTTCCGCGTCTGCTGCCCGGATTTCAGAAGATCAAGGTTCGCCAGGCGGCATGCGGTCGCGGGCACACTCTCGTTTTGACGGGTGAGTAAATCTTGTACTGCCTTCCACTTCACGATAGTGTCCTTGATGCCTTTTTGAGCTGGTTTCAGTGTCCCATGTCCACTACAACAGCAATACATGAACACACTGTGATTCAAGGTCATGAACTGTGCAGCTAGGTCATACATGTACTCACTAACGTACTGCAGCTTGTGGAACCTGCCAAATACCTCCCTACAAGGTGACGGCGTATTTGCATACCTCCCTTGCCAGTGTGTATAGGCTGCAAGCGGCTGTACATGCGTGCGTCCTCGGTTTACCAGTTGAGCTGCACCGTGGCGTGGCCTGGGTGTGGATAATCACCTCATGCTTGTAACAATGTGCCATGCACACCATGGTGAAGTAGTTCTAGGCGGCGCATTTGGCCCTATACAACATGCCCTGGATGCTCCTAGCTCCGTACTTGTGCAGCTTGTGGTTCTTGACTCTGCGATTACGTGTACCAAGCAATTTAGAAGGCGAACAACAATTCAATTTGTTCATTTTTTTGCCGTGTCGTTCTTTGTACTCGTCTTCTATCATTGTATTTCTTTACAGAATCTGGCCTTGTTTTTGCGTTTGGCGATAACAAGGCTGGACAGCTGGGCCTTGGCCATCAGAATATAGTCACCAAGCCATCACATGTGAGTAGTGTGTGTGTGTGTGTCTCTCTCTCTCTCTCACACACACACACACACACACACACACACACACACACACACACACACACACACGCACACACACTGGCAGTAGATATGACTTGTCTGCTTATCATCATCCACTACAATGTAGGCCTTTACTGCATTAGGTAGCTGTGTATGCACTGTTGTTGATCTGTTCTACCCACCATGGATGGGACTGTTGTTACTCCATTCTATCCACCGCCTGATTGTACTGTTGTTGATCTGTTCTACCCATCATCTGCTGGTACTGTTGTTACTCTTCAGGTGTCCACCGAGTCTGAGTTCCCCATGGTCAAGGTGGCGTGTGGCGTGGAGCACAGTGCCATGATTGACAGTAGTGGCTCTCTGTTCACATTCGGTTGTCCAGAGTACGGACAGCTGGGCAACAATACGGACGGAAAGGTCAGTACGATTCGGTAGTGACTGTCTTTGCGCTATCTCTCTTGGCACAGGTTTTATCTTGTTGACATCAGGTGGATGCTCAGTGTTCATGCAATGCACATGTATAACCCTACATAGCTACAATCATACTTGTACTGAAGTTACCAGAGGCTACAGTTCACCACTGTCGCTTGCCATTAATTTTGATGATTCACTTTTTGTGCAGTGAAGACCTCACAATTTGCTTTTTGCATCTCTTGTTGTTTATGTTGGTGGTGGTGGTGGTGTTATTGTCGTTGTTGTTGTTGTTGCTGCTGCTGCTGCTGCTGCTGCTGCTGCTGCTGTTATTGGTGATGGTGGTGATGGTGGTGGTGGTGTGTTTGCTGCACATTGAAAGGTTTACTCCGAGCCGAAAGCTCTGCTCCACGAGTTGTTGTTTGTCTCACCTCTCAATCTTTCTATATCTATATCTGTTGGGTTCACCTAAGCCTGAAAGTGATGTATTGGTTGTGTTGTGCTGTGCAGTATTTCATCACGGCGTGCAAGATGTCCTTGTTGTGGTGTGTGTGCTGTGCAGTATTTCATCACGGCAAGCAAGATGTCCTTCCACTACGTCACACGGCCGGCTCGCGTCCCCGTCTTTGTGGAGAAGGACCCGAAGGAGGGCACGAAGATCATCGACTCTGTGTGCATCGTAGACGTGGCATGCGGCAATAATCACACAGTAAGCTGCTCCTCTTCATACAGTCTGTTCACACATGATTAATCTCTGGACTTCTTCAAATCCGATTTTGACCGAATTATGTTCAAACCAATTCTAATTCTGCTGGAAATGGGTTTGGGACCAGCATTTCTGTGCGACTATCAATGGAAAACCTGGCCGAAGAGCACAAGCGAGATTATCATCTTCTCCTGTATGGACTGTGATATAGTGCCCTGGCCGGAGAACGGGCAATGGCAGTGTGTTGTTACCTCTTCATTACTTTGTAGAGAGATTCCAGGCTGTCCAATAGAGTGCTCAATACCGAAAGGCACAGCTAGTTCAAACAATAATAAGGGGATGAAAAAAGTGTTTTTACTCCGAGTTTCACGCACTAAGCGATCATCAGAAAACTGTAATGAGTAAATCCGTATACTAGTACTGGTTTATACACCCACAAAGCAAAAGTAATGGAGTAATTTGTGTCTCCATTGCTGTTGCTGCTACATGAAGTACTTTGCCGTCTACCGCCTCAGGTTGTCGTCAACGACAAGAAGAAGGTATTCACGTTTGGCTTTGGCGGTTATGGTCGTCTGGGACATGCCGGCACGGCCAATGAACTCGTGCCGCGTTTGCTGCCGCAATTCGGTTGGCGTGCCGGTCTCGGCGTGGAGCAGATAGCGTGTGGCTCTACGTTTTCCATGGCAATCAGTGAGAACGGCCAGATCTACTTCTGGGGACAGCAGAAGATGACCGGCGAGGCAACCATGTACCCGCTGGCTATGCCCGACTTCTACGGCTGGAAAGCACGCTCTCTGGGTTGCTGGTAAGTTGTACGTGTGGGTAGGTGGGTGGGTGTACATGTGGGTGTGGGTGGGTGGGTGTATGCATGTTGACTGCATCATACATGTATTTCTAGTCTGGCCCAGCGACCCACTGAGAATGTACCGATCTCTGCTATTGCTAATCAAAGTATTCCATTGAATTCTACTGAGTTGGGTATTGTAATACAGTCAGACCTCGCTTATCCGGTCCTCTTTTATCCGGATCCCTCGCCATCCGGAAGAAAATCGTTGGTTACCAATTCACAGCATATGCCATGAATACAATACAATATGTGTGTTCGATTATCCGGTTCCCTCGCCTATCCGGATATTTTTGTGGAAAACGGATGTGTGCGGTTAAGTGAGGTCTGACTGTAGTGGCACATCTTACTCCACCACACTGTAGTGCCTGCTAGAGTGAGATTCTTCCACAGTGTGTGTGTAGTGTGCTCAACCTGTTGTCTTATCTTCTGTGTGTGTGTATGTGTGTGTGTGTGCATGTGCGTGTGCACACAGCTACAAGAGTGTTATTGCCGTGGCTGATGAGAGTGTGATCGCGTGGGGATCGTCACCGACGTTTGGTGAACTGGTAAGACCACTGGGTTGACTGTGCCTGACTACCACATTCTATTGCACAATATATTGACCTTTTGATAAATACCCACACTCATAAGTGACCCCACCATCAACAGTATCAAATTCGAATAAATTTGCTTTGACTCAATAAATACCACTGCACATTTCCATGCAGCACTGCACTTTTCCCATAAAACCTGCTCTAATGGGGTATTCACACGACAGGCACTTTCACGTTTTACAGGGAGTGACATACCAGAAAAGTGACTGTGTGGATTCACACAGCTGCACTTCACGACAGGCACGCTTGCATTTTTGAATGCTTCGCCGACCAGTAGCCATGGGTATTTCAAAATTTCAAAACACATAATAATAATTATCATGCTCTAAAGAGCCGCGTAAAAAATCAAGTGTTGTTTCGTGCTTTTTGGTGTAAATGTACTCGTGCACGCCACGATTATCGTGAAAGTGGGCCCCCAGCTCGCTTTCACTTGTCAGCCACTTTCAGGCACTTTTCTCGTTCACAGGTAAAATACCATAGCAACTTTCCGGTGCACGTGGATTTGCCTGTCGTGTGAATACCCCATAACCCGGACGCCTTTGGTGCATCCGAAACTGACAAACTGTCCTGGTGTGACAGGATTCCGCTTGATCCAGCGGTGCACGTTCAATCCGCAGCACTTCGGTGCTTGAAAATTCGGCCGGTCTACACAGGATTCTTCCGCTTGGCACAGGATCCAGCAAACACAAGTTGTACTGTACGCCCAAGCCTCTAAATTATAGGACAAATATTGATGGACCGGTCGTACTAGTAGTTGTTAGCTGTGATTGGAGTTCTTCTTTTCCGTACTTTATACCCAGTGGGTTTAGTGAATTTTACCACTGGACCTTATGTAAATACACAGTCATTTGTCCAATAGAGCCATGAACACGGCAAGGCCATACCGGAGTGGAATGTGGTAAGATTTCGCTTGTCGGTGTTCTTCTCAACGCAATTTTGTTGTATTCCAGTACTGTGTACATCCAGTATTCTTGGTCCTGTTTACCAACTCTGACTCTCTCTCTCTGTCTCTCTCTGTCTCTCTCTCTCTCTCTCTCTCTCTCTCTGTCTCTCTCTCTCTCTGTCTCTCTCTCTCTCTCTCTCTCTCTCTCTCTCTCTCTCTCTCTCTCTCTCTCTCTCTCTCTCTCTCTCTCTCTCGTTGTCTGGCTGTGTCAGGGTTTCGGACCCGCTGGCAACAAGACATCTGCCAAGCCGAAGATTGTGGATCCTCTGGACAAGATCTACGTCCACACAGCCACTGGCGGCTATGGTCATGTGATCTACTTAGCACGTGATGACACTGATACAGATAAGGAAGAGATCGCCAAGCTGCCAGAGTTTGAGTGCCCAGAGTAACTGCGGAGGTTTTGAACCATCTCTTGACTGTGTGTACCCTAGTAAGCCCAGCAGCGTAGGCTGTGAGGCGTTAGTGAATGAGTATGTTGTGCCTGTGGACTTCCAGTGGGCTCTGTGTGTCGGCTTCCAACTCTCAGGACATCTGCTACAGCGTGTGTGTGTGTGTGTGTGTGTGTGTGTGTGTACAATGACTTATGACTCCGCACGGATCACCGTGGATGGCTTAGAACGGAACACATTGGACAGCTTGCATGATATGCACAGCAGTGATAGCAACGCGCCCGGCCGTGTATTGCAATGTACTTGTGTGCTGCACTGTGCAATGTGCGTGTGCATAAGTATGATTTTATTCGCTTTCCTAGTGTGCATCTTAGTTGTGCTATATCTCAGTTTGACACTGTTTGAGCGCGTGTGCTCTTCATTTTTTTGGCCAGACTTCTGCATTCTCGCTGCCCCCTTTTCACGTCAGGCTGCCGTAATGCGGTGATACTCCGTACAGTCCGCCTGGTCACAAAACACGAACTATCATACAGCACCGATAGCGCAGTGGCACTGTGTAGCTCTTTACTTACTAACTGAACAGCATCAGTTTTATCTTCTCTTTTCCCACGCACTGCTCGTGTTTCCGCAGGCACCCGTTTTTAGTCACGTTTTCTCTCTTTGTTTTATTTTATTTTATCTCGACCATTGTTGGCGTTCAATGCAGTTGCTAATATTATGTAATGTTAAGATTGGCTGGTGACTGGTGACACTCAACAACATAAGACTTTCGGCACATCGGCTTTCCCGTCTCACTATGATCCTGTACAAGTGCATGCAGTGAACCCAGTGTTTGTTGTTGTTGTTGTTGTTGTATATTTAGTACAGCGTGCATGAAATTTAAAAAAAATGATACCGGTGTGTGGCGCATTCCGAGTGTGTTCGACTTGATTAGAACGTGCTGTGCGCATGAACTGTGTATGCAAACATGCAACATATCCAGACTGAGCACCGTCTTGAAATCATATGCATCTGCATGGTAGCATAACAGATGCTTTCAACACATTGCGAGATGAGGATAATAACAAAGTAAAAAAATTAAAAAATAGTGGACATGGGATAGGGAACAGGGAGGAAGTCAACGTCCAGTTCATGATATGGAATAGTCTCAACATCAAGGTATTTGCACAAAGTTAGCGTGGGCACGAGACTGGAACTGGTAGAGAGAGAGAGAGAGAGAGAGAGAGAGATTCATCATGTGTCCAGTGGACAGTGTTCAAGTTTTGGATGCCTTCAGGCCGATGTAGGCAAGTCCAGCACCAATGACGATCACAGCTAACACTAAGATGCAGAGCATCTTGCGACTCGACTTCTGGTGCTTCTCAGCCTGTGTACAACAGACAAGACAGGAATGTGTATACAGTGTAGCAGTAGTATGAAGTGAATCTGTTCACTGTGACTATCGGATTATTATAGTCTCTACAACGCGTATAAGCTTGTCCCCAAGGAGAACTCACTAAGAAATGTGTGGATCTCACGCCACTGCATTATAAAAAGAAGGGGGGGGGGTGTGTGTGTGTGTCAAATGACAATTGCCATTCACTATGCATGCATGTTTTGATTGTTTTCCCATAATCCCCATGACACGCACATGTTTGTCGCAAGCTCTGTATTGACCTGGCGTAATCCTTTATCACTATTATCACTAGTAATCAGAGGACACAGTACTACCGAGTACCGTGCAATCACTGGTGTTCTGTGCGTTTTCGGCCAAAGTGCGCAGGTGAAACTGTAAGCAACAGCGACCTACAGTCAACATACAGGATAGTCTAGTGTGTTTCACCGAGTGTTCAGCTAGCACACGTACTGGTGCATTTCTGGCTACTGGCTAGCACACACCGTATGTCAGCGGCTTTAACGCCATGGCCTTATATTCGAAACACCACTGCTTTCCTAGCTATTTTAGATGTAAAATGACTCACCCACTACGCCATGCCAACAAAGTCAAAGTCTGTAAGACATACTGTAAAGCGATAATTTGTTTGCGGTGCGCAAAGTTCGCGTTTTCAAGAATCGTGCTCGTTCATGATGAGAAAATTTTGCGATTTTATCTCTTCAGTCGGATCTTGTACTGTCTACAGTCAATGTACAGAGCAGTGTCACTGTGTGCGACGATTAATAAGAGCATATCACAGTTTATAATTGCGGGAGAGTTCACAACGGACCAACAAACATAGTCGGCTTACCTTGACAAGCTGCTTGTGACCGTCCTCGATCTTCACCGCCGCTAGTTCTATGTTGTAGTCGATACGATCAAGGACAGTGCCCTAAGTCACATACAAGTAGACAAAAGGAAGAACCATGGACATGCGCCCTGAAATGCAGGTTGACGCTTGCACACACCACCGCCATGATGTCACCAAGGAATTGCCAAAACAAAGCATACGACCCCCCCCCCCTTCTCTCTCTCTCTCACTCACACACACGCACACACACACACACACACACACACACACACACACCTCAGACCTCAGACATGCCCATCGCGGAAGCGATGATAGCAAACAGCTATGTTAGACATAGCAACTTGTGCTGGGATTACACCATTCAACAGCTTGCAAGGCTGATGAATTGACCGCCACTATTTTTAGCCTTGTATCCACCACACAGCTGTTTGAAGTGACTTTTTCTGGCCAGAGAATCCCTATTTTTCATTTTTCCATCTATATACAAGTATATTTTTACACACAAACACACACACACACACACACACACACACACACACACACACACACACACGATGCCAACGTAATAGCAGTAGCAGACATTCCGCTCACTACAGTCATGAATCCATCGTTTAGAGTGGAAATTACCTTTTTTAAACAAGCTATCATTTCAATTCAACAATGGAAAATCACAGCAAATGGACAAAAGGGCTGACCATGCTAGAGTGTGTCTTGGAGAGATAGAGATAGAGAGAGAGAGAGAGAGAGAGAGAGAGAGAGAGATAGATAGAGAGAGAGAGAGAGAGAGAGAGAGTGTGTGTGTGTGTGTGTGTGTGAGAGAGAGAGAGAGAGAGAGAGAGAGAACTGTAGAAAGCACACCAGCACGTACCACCTTCCAACCACAGCGCACTGACTCACCTGCTCTGCAATCATAGTGGCCAAATCTCTGAAGATCTCATTCAGGTCGCCTATGGACTGCACGATGGAGGTGATCTCACGTTCTCTCTCCTCCACCATGGCTGAGTTGTCCTCCAGCGTACCCAGTTGTGATGTTGTGAATGCCTGTGCCAGAAAACCACACAATCAGATAAGTGCTCAGCAGGGGAAAACATGATGAGCACGGTGCTAGTTGCAGTACAGGCTAAAGCATATGTGAGCTGGTTCGCAACAAGTAGCATTGCCAGCAGCGGCTTGTTCACACTAACAACAAACATGCCAGGCAAGGTCGTTAGAGAGAGGGTCTACACCCAAAGATCACTATCCACTCTAAGACTGGCAGCAGACTCTACCGGTTACGATGCCACAAGCAATGGAAATAATTGAACCATTGCGCCAGGCACAGAACGGACAAATGCAAAAGGATGATGAGGATATGACGATCTTCATCTTTCTGTGAGAGCTGGCAGCCGTGCATGTTCGATTGGTGAAGTAGAATACAATCTAACAACAAGGGTATCCGGTGTGCTAAAATGGTAACCTGGCGCGCGCGCGCACACACACACACACACACATACACACACTCGATATACAGTTGTGCAGAGTTCTCTACCTTATCATAGACCTCATCCTCCGGTACGACTTCCTCCTGGAACATGGCACTGGACATGCCACCAGAAAAGATCTGTTGCTCACGCTCCTCACGGTTCTTCAAGCCTGAATAGCATGCAGCACCAAGTGCAGAAACAACACCAGCCAGCGGAGGAGAACGTACACACACACAAACAAACAGACAGACATACACAGACAGACACACACAAAAGTCCAGGAAAAGTGAGACTCAGGTAATAGGTAGAGAACAGACGGTAGACGACTGAAAGTGTCTCTTTAAATCATCTGAATAAGGCATACTGCAGAACCTATTGAAAGATAGCTTCTTCCACATGGTGGGAGAGTGACAGTTTGTGTACATGTATACAACCTATTACTGGTGCTAGAACATGATGATTGCTTGCCGCATGAAGCTCAGAGTTAGAGCAAGACCGTTTTCTTTGCCCTTCTCTGGGCATGAGTAAGACTGCACCAAATTGTATCTCTCTCTCTCACTCTCTCTCTCTCTCTCTCTCTCTCTCTCTCTCTCTCTCTCTCTCTCTCTCTCTCTCTCTCTCTCTCTCACACGTATGGACAACTGCAGTTCCAACATCTACATACAGCTGTATACGGTCAAGATTGGGTGCATTGTGATTTGTAAAACTAAGTTTCTGCGTACACAACGCGGCGCTTACGTTTCAGGTAGGCGGACTGCGTCGAGCGGAAGTTGACGGACATCTCCTGGAGCGACAGTGCCATGGAGGACATGACGTTCTTCGTCACCTTCTTCTCCTGGCTGCTGGACATCTGGCTGCGTTTGCCGATTTGCTGGATGGACTTGTGACTGCGGTGAAACATCTGCATGGGCACAAGACATGATGCACACGGAAATACAACGACGATGAAGAGCTGGGTCGGTGGAGGACGGGACATGCTGCAGTGACCCTACATGTGTCGGCGCCTACTTGTATTTCCCTGGTCACATGCTTCTACTCCACACCTGGCTCCAATCTTGGATACATGTACGGGTGATGTATGGTGGTTGTCATTATTCACCATCTACAAGACTTAGTGTACAGTACTGTCTGTCGCCGAAGAACGGCCAGCTAGAATTCCATTAAGTACAGCATACCAATGTAAACACGGTGACTCAACTGCCCATAGACTGTAATACATGAAAAGTAAGAACGATCTAGGCTAGGAGGCTGACCCCCCCCCCCCCCCAGTTCTTCGGCGACCGACGGACAGTACTGTATGCTGATAGCCAGTACAAAATACAGCCTGCACTTTAACGCATATTCTCTAATACAAGCGCCGTGCTTATATTTTTTCAACACCCCCTACCCCGTGCTTATAATAGAGACCGTGCTTATATTGGAGACCGTGCTTATATTTTTCATCCAATATATCCATACAGAGCCAGGAGAAATATACACAGAATTCCACTTCGAAAGAAGTGCCAACAAAGAGAAACGAACACACACTTGCACAGAAACAAGGAAGATACCAGGTACGTGGCAGATATCATGCATGAAAAAACACTGAATTCAATGTATAGACATCAGTAGTGGCCCTAGTGGGACTTTTCAATGTCCAAATGCTACAATCGCCGGCAAGCGGCCTGGATAAAGGAGAGCAGAACATGAACACTATGCCCAGAGCTAGTCTTGCCTGCTAACCGGGTATCAATGGGTTCAGTTTGAAGCTTCTGCCTACACGTACCCTCTGCAGCCCATCAAGCAGTACTGGTACCGGTATGTACAGGTCAGTGTTTGCAAACTTACGCTAGTGATTTCCCTCGTCAGGATGTCAATCTCCTGTTCACCATCGCCGTCGTCGTCAAGCGTTGGTCGGTCGAGGTGCTGCCGATGCAGGGTTTGCAAGTCGGCCACTACAACACACAGTGCCACACACACACAGTGCCACACACACACATACACACACACGCACACATACACACACGCACAGTGCGCACAAAGCAGACAGAGATCATGGGTTTGCAAGTCAGCCACTATAACGCACGTACACACACAGTATGCACAAAGCCAAGACAGAGATCATGGGCTGCAAGTCTGCAGACCAATATTATACATGTACTTCAAAATAGACTGATGGCATCAACAAGAGAATAGGGCTTTGAGGATGCAAGGCTAGTGGTGTGGAGACAACGTAACACTTCCACTCAAAGTCAGAGTGTGGAGGCTACAAGTCACTACTGCGGCATGGAGGACAATCGAACGCAACCATGTCAGTTGTTGATATTTAAAGCCAAGTGAACCTGATGAGACAGTGAATACAGAACAGATACTAGTGCACACTGGCACTGAAGTACACTGATGTTGATCAGTAATGCTTACCCCGTTGTTTGATCTTCGTCAGCTCAAATTGAATCTGAAACAATAGCAAGCCAGCACAGACCAGATGCACGATCAGCTAGCTTCTCATGGAGCCACACACAGCTGTGACAATGACAAAGACACCATACACATTTTGCAGACAACCCCTGAACCTCGAGCACCACTAGTCCACTACAGTCTACTCTCCCTATGGTTCGTAGTCCCCTGTGAACAACAGACTGTCTGAATGGAGCGCCGTCAAGGCTTCGGGCATCATGTGGTGATTGCAAAAGGCTTTGAGAATAGGACTACACCATACAGCAATCACACTTAGAAATGTAAGGAAAACAGTGCATGCCTCAGTCCAACACACATCGCACCATTGTACCCACACGCTCACCTCCTCAACACCATCAACCCTGTGCAGGAACAAGAATGGAAAATACAGCAACAACACAGTAAAATCCTCCATAATGATCACAGCCATGCAAAACCAATTGGGGCAATTACTGTCCGATGAAACTACTTGAGCTGAGTATGAAATTTGAAGCCTTCTCTTTCGAAATCTATTCCAGGTACCTATACTCAAAGTACAGATGTGGTGGGTCGCAAGCCTGATACCATCCCGTGACAGGGGTGATCAGTTAACATTAGGCATGATAATCAGTTTGAAATGACAACACACAAGGAGGGCAGGCCCGCCGGAACCGGTTGATCAGGTGATCACCGGACCAACTTTTTGGCCACCAACACGTGTTTACTACTGTGCAGAGTGATTGAGTGATAAGCTTGTGTGTGTGTGTGTGTGTGTGTGTGTGTGTGTGTGTGTGTGCATTTGCGTACTTCTCTTGTCATGGGTGTATACATGGCACACGGTGTGTGTGTGTGTGTGTGTGTGTGTGCTCGTGCATGTGTGTGTGTGTGTGTGTGTGTGTGTGTACGTATGCGTGTGGTGTCAGGTTAAAGTGACTTACCATTCCGGTGGCAGGTTGTGTGCTCCGTGCCGTGTGATAGTACTGGCAGCAGGGCCAGCAGCACCTGCCTGAGATCCAACAAGGATTGCCCGATCATTATCAAAGTCCACCTGCAGCATTGCATCACATCGCAGCAGCAGCAAAGTTCCGGCTACAGTTGACTACACACAGCGCTGATACTGCCAGTCAACACCTTAAGTGCTGGTTATGTACTCGTGCTGATGCTGAGGGGAACCTCTAAGTGCTAGTACATGCACTGCGACGTCCGAGACATTAGCGGCCCGAGAGACTGGATCTTCCTCTTGCCAGCTACTACTAGTCTACAGCTGTGGTCAAAGAAATCCAACCCACGCGCCCACAGCAGCGCCAAGGCTCATGCAGCCCTCGGATCAGTTTTGGGAACATGCATGGTGTAATTGAAATGGAAACGCGCCGCTACTTTTGACACGCGGGTCCGGGTTGGATTTCTTTGGCCACGACTGTAGTACAGTCAGTGACTGTACCAGGACTGACGTCATGACGGGTTGGTCTGCTATACTTGGTGATCTCAAGATGTACATGTACATGTAAGGCCACACGTTTTTATTTCTATGTTTCTCGTCACCTGCGCGCATACGATTCAGGAGTCTGGAAGAAGAAAAAACTGTGCTGCACTGACTGTGCATGTGGGGACCAGCACACTCATGCACATGTACAATCATAATGTGGCCTGGACTGCGCTATACATGATGCAAGGACGGCATTTTTTGTGCGCAATCTAGCTGCACATGCACAGATTGTGACAGAAGTTCCTACCACATACTACATGTACTTAGTATTACTAGTTGCTAACTATGGATGCTATTTTGCATGGTGTATTGGTGGATTATAGTGTGAACAAAGGTCTAATAAACTTTTTTTATTTTTCGGTCATTTTTTATTTTTTCCACCTCTCGCATACGTTTTTAGATTTTCAGGTGACGAGAAACATAGAAATAAAAACGTGTGGCCTAATGGTGTAAAAAAACTGTAATGTCGTTGGCGTGCACTTCTGCTCATCGGCTGCATGACAGCGCCTTGGGGCCCAACAAAAACAAATTATAGTTTGAGCCTACTTTGAAGTGCATGTTCATCATAATGGTCAACGGGTGGAGGCAAGAGTTCATAACCCCCAGGGGTTATGAACTCTTGGTTGAGGGCAATGCAAAGGGGAAAACATACATGTACTGCGAAGTAAATCATTCATTTTTCAAATCTACAATGTGTTGCTTCGGTTGATTGTTCAGAGAAGGTCATGTCCTGGACATTCACTTCCACTGACTAAGTATGACTATTTTATACAGACAGTCAGTCAGTATTCAATTCACTTCTCACCGTCATCGAGGTGCTGTCACCACACGAGCTGAGTTTTCGTGCAGCCACGGCTTCATCGCGAAACCTCTGAAATAAATCCGTCCTGGATCTTGTTGCCATTATGCCGGTATGTTCTGACCCTAGCAGACTAGTTCTTGCTTGCACGAGTTCACAGATTCCTGGGAAGTGTCGATGGCGGAAGCCGAAGTGACCCACATCGGATTTTTGGTTGCTGCGACTTTCAAGCTTCACCTCAAAAGTCAGATCCGAAAAGCTGTGGACCTGGTAGTAATTCCTGAAGCAAGTGAGTCGTAACAAAATGACTACATCCTGCTGTCACGATCGATCGATATCGCGTCGCGATCGCGTGGCTGCATCGGTAACCATGGTGATTGCAGATTTTTGTTGTCGTAGGTACTAGGTACGCACTGTACGCATGCGTCATGATGCGCAGCCTTGTACGCATGCACGCAACACAGGCTAGCCAAATGCGCTAGCCAGCACTGTTTTAGCCCTTTTTCTCCTTCGTTCCTGAGGTGCCGGAGCGAATTTCTCTGGCGTCTGCTTGTTTGTGGCCTACACTACTCTGCAATCATGAGGTAAACTGCTCTCTTCGCTTATCAATGATTTGGTGAATGTTATCTCATCAGTTTTGGTTCATTATTTATTTCGTTCCCGCGTTTCCAGTAAGGTTTCAAGAGACGCACTCTACGAGTGTGTAACTGGAGTCTTGAAAGGTTCCATTGAGAAGCAGCGCAAGTTCGTGGAGACAGTGGAGCTTCAAATTGCCTTGAAGAACTACGATCCTCAGAAGGACAAGCGTTTCAGCGGCACTGTCAGGTCAGTTTGTTTGAATCTGCTCATGGTATTGTTCACTTTTCAGTCTCATCCAGGATTCCATCTTTGCCATTCTCAAATAATTTTGTCAGGTGGCGTAATTTGAATTCTATATCGGCGATCCGTCAGTTCGCGAAAAGGGAACTGGGAGATGGAAACCATAAATGATCGCTCTACGATCGCTCCATGTGGAATGTACCTCACCCTTTGCACTTACTGTCTTTGAACGAAGTTAGAATGAAAGTAATAATTGTTGAATTCTGTTTTGTGTGTGTGCGTGCGTGCGTAGGCTGAAGCACATCCCTCGTCCCAAGCTGCGCATCTGTGTATTCGGAGATCAGCAGCATTGTGATGAGGCGAAGGCTGCTGGATTCCCGTTCATGGATGCCGAAGCCCTGAAGAAGTTGAACAAGAACAAGAAGCTTGTGAAAAAGCTTGGTATGTCCATGTGCTGCTTTGGTCTTTATCCAGTTTTACTTGACGGCATGTACATTTTATGTGCTGCTGATTACTTTCTAGCTTTACTACTGTCCCACATTGCATGCGTACACCAAAATAATAATACCACTAATATACGGTGCAAGCTTTACTTACTTATAGCCGTACCACGTCTAGGTAGTTTCAGGCTTTGATATGTTTGTGTTATTATTCCCCTCGATGTATTGTGTATGCTACAGGCAAGAAGTATGATGCCTTCCTTGCCTCAGACACCCTGATCAAGCAGATTCCACGTCTTCTTGGCCCTGGCCTCAACAAAATGGGAAAGTTCCCGACCCAGATAACCCATGGTGAAAACATGAAGCACAAAGTCGAAGAGATGCGCAGCACCATCAAGTTCCAGATGAAGAAGGTATGTCAAACCAGCCTGTGTCAGCTGTTGCTGGTTGTGTGTGTGTGTTGCCATGCTTTCTTCATGTTTTGGTTGTGGAAAGGCCAATTAGGTATTGAATGGAGCTTGTGGAGCCCGTCAATGTCTTCGCTGATTCTATTCATTACTATTGCAAGACAATAAGCTTTGCTTGTTTTTTGTTGTTGTTGCCAGGTTCTCTGTCTGGCCGTTGCTGTTGGTCACATCAAGATGGGTGAAGACGAGCTTGTGTCTAACATTTTCATGGCTGTCAACTTCCTAGTCTCCCTGCTGAAGAAGAACTGGCAGAACGTGCGCTCTCTGCACATCAAGAGCACCATGGGAAAGCCCCAGCGACTCTACTAAGAACCCGGCACCATTTTTCATCATTGTTCTTTGCAATATGAAAGTTTTTTTACAATTTTATTTCAGTCTACCCAGCTGTGATGGGGACCGGCTTTGTGCTGGGCCGTTACCTGCGGTCAACCAGGCACTCTGTGGCTTGCCACAGAGGAGTACATGGATGCTGGGATGCATCTCGTACGGGGTGACCAGAATGGGTAGTGGCTTGAGGAGTACATGGATGCTGGGATGCATGTTGTACAGGATGACCTCCACAAGAGTGGTTTGGTGGTGTACTGCATGGTTTTTGGATGCCTTGGTGTTGGACCCTGGATCGGAGTACGAGTGCCAGCTACTACTACAGTCGACCTACCCTTATAACGATATTTGCGTCAGACCAAGAAATATTGTTATAAGGGTAATATTGTTATTGGGGTAACTGGTTCATTTCATACACATACGTCATAATGCATGTATTCTGTTCATTTTTTACACTCTTCGTAGCATAAAAAACTGATGTACATGCACATTATGTACACAGCAAGGTGCCCACTGGTGCCCCTATTGCATTTCGTCATGTCCCAGCGACTTATCAAGTGAAGCTTGCCCTACCTGGATAGTGGCCTCTACATAGTCCCTGCTAGTCTAGTAGTGCTAGATATTGTTATAAAATGGAAAATGTCGATTGGTCAGCCCATTTTATATCGTTATAGGGGTAATATCGTTATAGCAATATTGTTATAGAGGTAAGGCATTGTATACACAAGTCAATGGAGTGATTTGGTTTGGCAGAAAAATATCGTTATAAGGGTAATATCGTTATAGAGGTTATCGTTATAAGGGTAGGTCGACTGTAGTAGATTTGTATATGGATGCTGGGCATGGGATGCATCTTGCACATGGTGCACTACAGGGGCTATGTGGTGGTTGTTGGGTATACCTCTGCCCCTCCAGGAATTTGCGGAGACATTTCGGAAATATCGCGGAAAAAGTTGCGAGGTAGAATGCCGTAAATTGCAGGGAATATTGCGGGTTTTGTCAGATACTGCGGGATCATTGTGGTAAAATTGCGGCCGATTTTGGTACTTGTACTGTAGTGCTGTACAATGTTATTTTCATGTCCCGCGATTTGAACAAAAGTCCGTGATATCCGCGATATTTGAAAAATTATCCGCGTTATTGTAGAAAACTGTCCATGATACTTGAAAAGCAACTGCGATATTCGAGTCTTTCTTCGATGTTGTTTAGTTCTTGAAGCTCGTCAGTAGTTTAATTGTGAGATCGACACCAGAATGGAGAAGTTTCTGGGCAAATTAGCGGCTGACAAGTCACAAAATAAGGCTCGCGTCGAGTGTTGTCCGAGGATGGAGGAAAGCTGTCTTGCAAGCTCCTGCCGGCATGCCAGGCAGTTGAACATAGTTTGTCCCCGGGGGAAAATTGCGGAAAAAAATCGCAAAAAACGCGGCATAATATGGCATAATTTGCGGTGAATAATATTAATGTGCGGCATTTTTCAGTGAGTACGTAGTGAAATCAATCAGTTACAAGTCTCTGGTGTAAGGCCGCGGTCACACCGAGCTCGATTCAGCCGTTCAGCCGAAACAAGCGCGAAGGACTAAAGGGACCGTCACTTAATTTTTGCCGACTACCCGCCAAAAAAATCTTTTCGTTTCACGTGCCAGACACGTCCGCGAGCGCGTACGACTCGCGCTCGCCCGGCCGGCCGGCCGCGCTACCTTTCACGTCAAGCAATCTGTTCACGCCACATGGCTGGATTGGATAGCGCGTACATGCAGACATGATTGAAGACTTGCAAAATCAATTTTTTTACAAGTCCATCGATATCCAGGCGCTAGGCGCTAGGCCTAGCTAGGCAGTACTAATGCCAAAGGCTACCTACTATAACCCCCAGGCAGCTGACTTTATTTTCGGAGAAACACTACTCATTGTAGTAAAAAGTAACAATGAATAGCGACATCATCTAGGAAGGATCGCTACCCTCACGCAAAGGAAAGGCCTTGTGCGGCTGCTCTACGAAGTGTTGAAGAAAGACTCATCAAAGTTAGTTGGTGGACGAACAACTCGCTGGCGCCGGAAAACTTGGCCCCCACCGATGGTGTTTGGTGAATCATCAAGCATAATGTCTTGTAGCAGTGTTCACCGAGGAAGGAGAACGCTCTAGCCGCTGCTGTTGTCCGTTTCATCCACGTTGGGCGTTAGCTGCACCGCGCCTATTGTGTTTTAGTATTCCATGGACACACATTAGCATTCAGAGCGATTGTGGAGCCACAATTTACTTCACACAGCGTTGTATTGTCCACGAGCGCAAACTTCATTATCAGCAGTAACTGTTACTCTTCATCCTACATGTAGATTTGGAGTATACACGGCCTTGTCATGACAGCGACAGCTCTACAGAGTGTTCAAGTGAGAAACATTAATTTCAATTGTTGGTGGACGAATACATGGCTGGTTCCGAAAAACGCGGCCTGCACCGATGGTGTTTGGTGGATCATCAAACAGGGTGACCAGCAGTGTTCACCGAGGAAGGAGAATGCACTCGCCACCACTCCGATTCATCCAAGTGGGCGTTAGCTGCGCCGCGCCTATTGTGTTTTAGTATTGCATGGACGCACACTAGCGTTCTCAGCGATTGTGGAGCCACAACATATCTTCATGCGGCGTTGCACTGTCCAAGAGCAGAAACGTCAGCAGTGACCCATCATCATACATGTAGATTTGGAGTATACACACCATGCGCCAATGGGCCTTGGCACAACAGCGGCAGCTCTACGGAGTGTTCAAGTGAGAAACATTTGTTTTGACTTTTGGTGGACGAACAAATCGGTTGTGCCGAAAAACGTGGCCTGCGCCGATGGTGTTTGAACCATCGAGGGCTCCGGAAGCAGCAGCTGAGCCAGATCAGCCAGTCTTGCCAACTCTCAGTTGCCGGACTCCGTGCTGCAGTTAGCAGCACTGGCACCAGCCGGAAATATTTTTCCGCCGATACCCGTTACTTCCAGTTCTGTCAAGGGCATGACTGGAATCCATTGCCGGGTGATGACTTTTTACTTTATGTGTTACTTTGCTGCCGAGTTGTTCAGAACTTTTCAGCCCCAATCTGTCCATGTCTACATGTCGGCCATCCGCAAACTTCAGGTGGAAGTTGGCTTTACCTACCCGTCGGGCCCAATGACTCTCCTCGCAAGGTTCCTGTCGGGCATCAACAGGTCATCATCGACACAGCGTCATCGCCTGCTGATAACCACTCAACTTCTCAGGGAGATTAGCCGGCATGCTGCCTTTCCACGGATGTGGCACCCTCATGACAAGGCCATGCTAAGGGCAAACTGACTGCTTGATTTTAGCTTTACATTACCGCAGTCAGTCCAGCACAATACGCCAATCGTATTTCACTATAACTCGCGTGTCATAATTGGGGATATGGGCTGCTCCGCCCTATATCCCTGATATGCCAAATAGACGAAAAGTGTGTTCTGAGCCTGTATCGCGTATAATAGGCTCATCGTAAAACAAATAATAAAAGTCTTAAAAATCAGGGTTCACGTGACACTCGGGTTCCAGCCAAGTTTTCCGCATCCGCAGGAACGCTACCCCCCTCTTGAATCATAGTATAGTGGACTCTGCAATGAACAGATTATGAAACTCCCTGCAGATTTACTACGGTCATCTCTGGTGACTGGTCTTGGGGCACCGTGGAAGCTGTGACTGGTTGCCAAGTTTAGTTTTGTGACTGATCATGGGGCATTTGTGACTACTTCGAAGCACAGCTCTGATTGATCACAGAGTCTTACTGTTGTGAATATTTATATCGATTGAGAAGTCAAGCAGCCACGGGGCGCTGGCCTTGCAGCTGAAAGACCGAATGTTTGAGCTAATAGTCTTTTACTTCACTCTCATGCTGCTCATATAATTATACCATACGCCAGAAGACCCTAAGTTAGTTCTAAGATTTTGTGGACCATGTGACCATGTGGTACTTTCATTCTACAGCCAAGTCAACCTCTTCGTCAACACACAGGGTTTTCCTCAGACACAAGCGAATGGTTTACTCCACTCTGGAGAAGAACACAGTTTGCTCTCTCGAACACCAACCGCATAATGACTACGGAATGTAGGAAGTGCAACAACTGCTAGAATATTGAACTGTCGTCCACACAAAACAAATAAAGACAACTGAAAACCAAAACACATGCAACTGCCAACATGCATGTAACAGCGACTGCAAGCCAGAACTACAGACTCCGCGCAGGGAGGAACAGGGGAAACAGAGGTAACGCTTCCGACTCTGAGAGCTTCGAATAGCAGCGGATAAAACAATACATCAACCTTACGTGTCACCTTGCGCTACCGCAAACGAACACCTATGGATGCACAGTGCAGCACAGACTCAGTGCATGCACGGTGTAATAACTGGAGTACATGTAAACCGACAACGGTCACCTTGCACCCTATGCAGTAAGTTACATAGGCTTGACGTGAAAGGTAACGCGGGCGAGCGCGAGTCGTACGCGCTCGCGGACGTGCCTGACACGTCAAACGAAAAGATTTTTTTGGCGGGTAGTCGGCAAAAATTAAGTGACGGTCCCTTTAGTCCTTTGCGTTCGGCGAAGGACTAAAGGGACCGATTCAGGGCAGATCGTGACATGATGGTGACTCTGATTGGTGACCCATGCGAGAACACACATTACACTTGCGGGTGGCCTTGCACTGAGTTAACCGGTGCCCTGTGCGCAAACACACAAAGCAACGCTTCTGTTCAATCAGTTATTCTTTCCGCTGTGCTACTGTTGTATATTTCGCGCAGTCACCACATACCATGCTTGATGTTTCAAGCACCATCGGCGCAGGCCACGTTTTTCGGCACCGACGATTTGTTCGTCCACCAAAAGTCAAAACAAATGTTTCTCACTTGAACACTCCGTAGAGCTGCCGCTGTTGTGCCAAGGCCCATTGGCGCATGGTGTGTATACTCCAAATCTACATGTATGATGATGGGTCACTGCTGACGTTTCTGCTCTTGGACAGTGCAACGCCGCATGAAGATATGTTGTGGCTCCACA